TCTCTTTTGGTCATTTGTGTTGCTGTCTCATTGATGGAGACACTATGTTGACTACTAGATCTCTTTTGGTCATTTGTGTTGCTGTCTCATTGATGGAGACTATATGTTGACTACTAGATCTCTTTGTTTATTTGTGTTGCTGTCTCATTGATGGAAACTGTATGTTGACTACTAGATCTCTTTGTTTATTTTTGTTGCTATCTCATTGACGGAGACTGTATGTTGACTACTAGATCTCTTTGTTCATTTGTGTTGCTGTCTCATTGATGGAGACTGTATGTTGACTACTAGATCTCTTTGTTTATTTGTGTTGCTGTCTCATTGATGGTGACTGTATGTTGACTACTAGATCTCTTTGTTTATTTGTGTTGCTGTCTCATTGATGGAGACTGTATGTTGACTACTAGATCTCTTTGTACATTTGTGTTGCTGTCTCATTGATGGAGACTGTATGTTGACTACTAGATCTCTTTGTTCATTTGTGTTGCTGTCTCATTGATGTATACCCACTGTGCCACATTTCTTTTATTTCTTTTGCATGTCGTGTTCCCATTTTGTCTCATTGATGTGACCTAACATTAATATTTAATCTTTCCTTTTCTAACCAAATATTAAAAACCATCTCATGTAACAAATATATGAAATCTAAAGGACATGGAAATGTATAAATTGAATCTGCTCATTAGCTTCTGAAACCCCTTATAACATTATAGTGTAGATGTTTACTTATTGAGTAAGATATTGACTGTAGAACTGTAATTACTAAGGACTTGATTGTAATATCAGTACTTACACATCAAATAGGATTTCATCAGTAGAACCAAATATTTGTTTTGATATACTTTGTTTTCTTTATTCATAGTACTATACATTGTCAGTTACCTTTGCATTGTAATGTACTGTATGTTAATTATCTTATTAAATGTACTATACAAATTGTTTCATTTACCTCAATCATTGTACTATACAGTGTGTTATTTACCTTCTTCATTGTACTATACAATGTGCCATTTACCTAATTCATTACACTATATTGTGTCATTTACTTTATTCATTGCACTATACATTGTGTCATATACCTTATTCATTGTACTATACAATGTGGCATTTACCTTATTCAATTGTACTATACAATGTGTCATTTACCTTATTCAATTGTACTATACAATGTGTCATTTACCTAATTCATTGTACTATACAATGTGTCATTTACCTTATTCAATTGTACTATACAATGTGTCATTTACCTTATTCATTGTACTATACAATGTGTCATTTACCTTATTTTTGTACTATTCAATGTGTCATTTACCTTATTCATTGTACTATATAATGTGTCATTTACCTTATTCATTGTACTATACAATGTGTCATTTACCTTATTCATTGTACTATACAATGTGTCATTTACCTTATTTTTGTACTATTCAATGTGTCATTTACCTTATTCATTGTACTATTCAATGTGTCATTTACCTTATTCATTGTACTATACAATGTGTTAACTTTATGTCATTTACCTTATTTACTGTCCTACTCTACACAATGTGTCATTGTGTTGCCTTACATCATCCAGCTGTCACTGGCAACAAAGAGGGATCACTTCTGTCACCTTGTGTTATCATCCACATCACACTTATTTTAAGCTGCAATTCCATGATACAAGAGAATAGAATTTTACTAAAGTTGCACAGATTCTTCTACCGGACATGAAGTTGTGCACCTGCTATTTTATTTTTATATCTGAGTAATTGATGGGGTTTTCCTATACAAAAACATGGACTTAGCCATTTCAGTCAAATCAGTATTTGAATCTGCAACTCCTTGAAAGTTTAACCAAACTTGCATTGATTTTTCTACTAGACATTGATATGTGTGTATGCTATTTAATTGAGGTGACCTTTATATCAGGTTTGACTGTATATTCATTTTGAAAATAAATTCATAGATTTTCAGTTCTAGTGGGGGGACTTTTTATAAATAGAAAATCTATTGATCTTTTAATACAAATTTTCTGTCTGCATCAATATTGCAATAGAGTTTTACATGCATGCATGGTTTTGTCAAAGTACAAAACTTTCCACTGCCAATTTTGTGATTTAAAGTTCCAGGAATCTACCATGGATAGCTGACATATTGCATTTTATAACATTTTAATTAAGCGTCATGTGGAAATCAGATGTAATGATCCATGTATGATGAAGTGATAATTCATATAAATTAAATATGATTGATCAATTGATTTGATAAGAGAATTAATAAGTTTTTAGAATTAGTATGTCATATGTATGTCTCAATTCTGTTATCTAGTTCATAGAGCCAGTATGAGCTCCTGTTATCTAGTTCATAGTGCCAGTATGAGCTCCTGTTATCAAGTACATAGTGCCGTTATCAAGTACATAGTGCCAGTATGAGCTCCTGTTATCTAGTACATAGAGCCAGTATGAGCTCCTGTTAAACAGCAAAACTTGAAAAGATTAAATGTGTATGCTTTTTTGTCGATTTGTAACTTTAAGGATGTTCGCTCCTCTTATTTTTAACTTTTTGCCAGATATTCCGAATTGTCTGGTTTTATCCATGTAATGCCATTAAAAATAATGCCCGCTATCCCCTACTTATCTTTCCATAATTTGATTACATGTAGTTTAAAACGCCATATTTTTTCATACTTTTTAAAAGAAAAAAAGTGCCAATGTTAAATCTAGAGAGAATCATTTCCCGCCAAGTTTTCAATGGCTTATATCTTGAAAACAAGGACATGGACCCTTCCTTTTTTTCTGCTCTTTTTGTTTTGTTATTTATATACTATCAATTTATAAAAGTCTTTTAAAAAAGCTTGTTATTTTTAAACAGAGTAGCCAACATCCTTAAGTTAAAAAAAAATCTAACAGTTTCATCAATTGAAGCTAATTACATTATAAATTATATTTATTTTGCTTGGTTGGATCGTCATCCAGAACTTGGCCATCATGCTGTTCTGACATTAGCAGGATGAAAATCAAAATTAAACTAGCACACATTCTCAATGACTGTAAACTAGCACACATTCTCAATGACTGTAAACTAGCACACATTCTCAATGACTGTAAACTAGCACACATTCTCAATGACTGTAAACTAGCACACATTCTCAATGACTATAAACTAGCACATATTCTCATTTCATGCATTTTTCTCAGACCAGGCAGATGAACAAATAAGGCTGTCAGTATGGACAAGACCTCATTTGAAACTCCCAAATTACATATTCTTATACGACCGCCAAAAAATTTTTGTGGTCGTATATTGGTATGACGTTGGCGTCGTCGTCGTCGTCCGAAGACACATTAGTTTTCGCACTCTAACTTTAGTTTAAGTGAATGGATCTCAATGAAATTTTACCATAAGGTTCATTACCACAAAAGGAAGGTGGGGATTGATTTAGGGGTTATGGTACCAACAGTTAAGGAATTAGGGGCCAAAAATAAGCATTTTTGTAACTTCCAGACATAACTTGTGTGTAAGTGTATGGATCTCTCTGATATTGTATCACAAGGTTCCATATCACAAAGGGAATGCTGGGATTGATTTTGGGGGTAATTGCCTCTAAATTTTAGGAATTAGGGGCCAAAAAGGGGCAAAAAACAAGCATTTTTCTAGTTTCATGACAATAACTTGTGTGTAAGTCTATGGATCTCTCTGACATTGTATCACAAGGTTCCATATCACAAAGGGAATGCTGGGATTGATTTTGGGGGTAATTGCCTCCAAATTTTAGGGATTAGGGGCCAAAAAGGGGCAAAAAACAAGCATTTTTCTAGTTTCATGACAATAACTTGTGTGTAAGTGTATGGATCTTTATGAAATTGTACTACAAGGTTCCATATCACAAAGGGGAAGCTGGAATTGAGTTTGGGGGTAATTGCCTCAAACATGTAGGAATTAGGGGCCAAAAAAGGGCAAAAAAACAAGCATTTTTCTAGTTTCAGGACAATAACTTGTGTGTAAGTGTATGGATCTTTATGAAATTGTACTGCAAGGTTCCATATCACAAAGGGAAAGCTGGGTTTGAGTATGGGGGTAATTGCCCTAAATGTTTAGGAATTTGGGGCCAAAAAGGGGCCAAAAAATAAGCATTTTTCTAGTTTCCAGACAATAACTTGCGTTCAAGTGTATGGATCTCTCTGAAATTGTACTGCAAGGTACCATACCACAAAGGGAAGGCTGGGATTGAGTTTGGGGGTGATGAATCATAAGGGGGTTCAAAAAATTTGGGGGGGGGGATTTTTTTTCCCCTTTTTTTTCTTTAAAATTTTCCATTTTAAATTGGTTATTTCTGATTTATATATAAAAGCAAATAATAATGATATGGTTTGAATAGGTAAATTAAAAATTTTTAAGTTCTTAGACCACTTTCATTCTGTGTGAGAAACCTATGTTGTGTCAAATATTTAATTACAATCCAAATTCAGTGCTGTTCAAGCTTGAATATTGTGTCCATACTTGCCCCAACTGTTCAGGGTTCGACCTCTGCGGTCGTATCAAGCTGCGCCCCAGCAGAGCATTTTATTCATTTTGTTAATGTGATTGGACCATCATCCAGAATTTGACCATTTCTGTTCTGACATTATCCGGATTACATTTAAGTAAACTTGCTCAATGCAGGTACAGAAGACGCAATATACTTAACAGCTTTGTAAATTTCTAACTTTTTTTCTCCGACCAGGCAACAGCTTTGTAAAGTTGTAACACATTCATGCTTTTCTCAGACTAGGCAGATGTACAAATAAGGCTGTCAGTATGGACCTCATCAATAACCTCCTTTGTGAATTGACATTATCATTCACATTCTATAATTTCATTGAAAATTTATATTACCTATATAAATATACAGGTTGATGATAGTAATTAAATGTATATGGCACATATCTACTGATGACGTCTTACTTAGACAAAACTAATTATAAGCAATTTACAACTACTGAACGAGTATATATATAACGTCGGAAACATTATTTCAGGACAAATACAGTTTGAGTACTGAAATCATCAGATAATATAAAAAGAGAGTTTTTCTTGCTGTAATGTAACAAAGAGATGACTTGAAAAGTATGTGAAAGGTCTATCATCGGATGTATTCTCAAGGTAAGATTTGAAATTGTATGAATGGTCTATAATCTAATGAATTCTGTAGGTTAGACATTAATAAAAAATTACATATAACAGTTTCTTTGTTTACTTAATCAAAGTTTAAAGCATTGCATAATAGAAATGTGTTTTGGGTAAGAAGGTTATTGCTTTGAAGAATGTTTTTTCAATCAGTTAGTTGAAAATCCTGGTTATTAATCCTTTTAGACTTTTCAGTAAGGCCATTTCTTCAAAAAAGTTTTGCATAAAGTCTAATTTGCTTAGAAATTTTTGCAATGGGTACATGACTCGTGAAAAATGCTGAAAATTGTTAAGTAATTAAGTGCTATACAGTTATTTTTTATGAATCAACTCGTAAAAAAATATTGAGTCGATTGGTTATCAATTTATCTATATCTTTGTATTTTAAAATTGATTTAATTACTTTAATTCAATCAGTCCCTATCCCATTTTTGCTAGTAACAGGACATTTTCCATCAGTTACTGGTAGTTTTTGAATTGCTTGAAACTGAAAAAAACCTGATACTGGCAACAATTTTTTGTCATTATTTATTTCTCATACTCATTGTTATTTCAACACCCAAAATATTGGAATTCATATGAAATATGATATTATTATATTTGGAGAGTTTTTAATTTGCTCTCACAATTCAAACTAAGACATATATTGCAACCAAAACAATAGAAGCAATAAACTTTCACTGGGTCTGTTCAATATGAACTCACCTTAACCTATGAAAAACTAGAGGCTCTAAAGAGCCTGTGTTGCTCACCTGTGCATCTTCAACAATGGACACTCTTTAACATTGTGGACTAGAATAAAATTCATGACACCAATCACTTTTTTTGTTGATCTTGTATTGCTGATCTTCTTTTCTGTTTACAGTTTCTTTCTATCTTCTTTTAAGTTTTTGCCCAAAAATAAGAAAAAGGCTACAAAAATTTGTCATTTAAGGGCAATCACTCCAATAAAGAGTCAACTATCTATTTCAGCAAAAGGAGAAGGTCTGGTAAGGGCTTATTTTGGCTTGAAATCTGAAGTACATCTGATGAAAGATTTTTGACATTTTTTAAACACTGAAGTGTCTTCTTCAGCCGATTCAATTAGTTTATGTAAAAGATTTGAACTAATTTGGTCATTAAAGATTCCTAAATTTAGATTAGATATGAAAAATCTATCAAATATGCCACAAAATGTCACTATTCAGATGGGTTTTGTCTAAAATGGAAGAAGTGGCCGCATTCATGTTCAGTCTCAACCTTTATGTATTTTATGTATCATTATCAAATACAACATATATTTAAATATTAAGACTGAACACAAATGTGGCCACTTCCATTTTAGACAAAAACCGTCTAGAAAATAAGCACAAATTCTAAAATTGTGAAGATTTCAGTAATTTTGCATGAATTAATGATGCTAGTACCTGGTGCATGTACATTGTGTTGTCAAAACAGCCCATATGTATGTAACAAAATTATTCTTCTTTCCAATAAGTAGCTAAAATAGATATAAGAAGGTGTGGTATGAGTGCCAATGAGACAACTCTCCATCCAAGTCAAAATTTATAAAAGTAAACCATTATAGGTCACAGTACGGTCTAAAGTTTACATTTTCAACAAGTTTTTGAAATGCTATATTTTGGGACCAAAAAGGGGTCTTGCCGGGGCTTCTCCTTTGACTTATTTGCCTTGCTATTTAAAGTGTCTATCTCTCTATTATAGTATTTAGCTTAAATTTCAAGATAATAGGCAAAAGCGGCAAAAAATTGTGAAAATAGTCATTCAGGAGTAAAGACTCCAATAAGGAGATTCCGCAATTCGATTTATTTGAAGTTCTTGTCTTGCAGATCATATTGCAATTTAAAGGACAGGAGCCAAATGATGAGGAAAGCTCACTTGGCCCTTTGGGCCAGGTGAGCCAAGAATTGTAAGGGTATAAAAATCAATATTTTCCAGGTGAAGCAACTTACTTCAGGTGAATTTACTTTTGTGTTTCACCTGAGTTCTCAACAGTTTATGAAAATACTAAAATAGAACATCCAATTTGCATGAAAATTAATTAGCGCATATATGGTTTAGGATTTAATTCAGGTATAGTAAGTATGATGAGTGAACAACAGCAAAACGAGATACAGGAAAACTAATAAATTACGTAACTTTTCTTACAATTTGAGTAAAAGCCAGTAAAGAGAATTTCTGGTTGAATTATGCTACTTTGATGTGTCAAACAAAATCCAATTAGGATAAAATTACAAAAATCATTTTCAAGTTAAGAAAATTATGTAACATTTACTGTCAATTTTCATCAGTTCTCATGAGTTGAATGAGATGATTCAATATAAAAAAAAAAAACTGAATAAATTGATTTGATATAAAACTTTGATTCTAATGCTATTTGTTAAGAATTGGACGTTGACAAATATTTTGAAGGGTTAGATTCCACGTACTACCAGTACGTAACTAATGAAAGCCACCATTTGGATTTCTGAATATTTTTGGTACTGTGGATTCATTAATATTCGTTGGATACCAATTTTCGTGGATTTTGTGGGTACAGGGGAACCACGAATTTAAATATTCAACGAATTACAAATTTTCTAAATGCGTGAATGCAGACTTTGCCGAAACCACGAAATTAAATATCCACGAACATTCAAGTTTTCCTCAATCCACGAAAATTGATACCCACGAAAATAAATGAATCCACAGTATGCAATTTCTAAAAAAATAAACAAAAAAGTCACATTTTGTGCCTGGAAATCTTCTTTTTGTCAATCGCCGAGATATAGCCTTTTTGTGCTGATGCAGCATAAAGTAATCACCAATCAATCAATCAATCTTTTTGTCAATATTTAGACCATTCAAAGCGTGCGAAAAGTATGAATAAGTCTAGTGGTTATGTTTGACATCAGGAGCATACCTATAACATCACATTGTTTAGATGCCAAAGACGATGTAGCACTTTCACAGACTTTTTAATCTATGGCATTTTTAAGCCAAAGTATTTACTAAAATGGAATTTATTTTAATATGTGACATTAGAATGGAGATAACTGTATTGTATTTAAGCTTGGCCTTTGTAAAACTTAATTTTATTGTAGCAAATATCCTTTCACCTAGCTCCACTACGCATACACATCGCTAGGTAAACTCAATTTGCGACAGTAAAATCTAAGTTTAACGAAGGTCAGACTTAAAATACAATACTGTTATCTCCTAATTACAATGATTCAATATAAAAATCTGAATAAATTGATTCAGCATAAAATCTGAATAAGTTGATTCGATATAAAAAATATGAAAAAAGATGATTCAGTTATAAAATGTGAATAAAATTATTCAATATAAAAATTCTGAAAAAAGATGATTCAAATTAAAAAACTGAAAAAGATGATTCAGTATAAAAATTCTGAAAAAAAGATGATTCAATATAAAAATTCTGAAAAAAGATGATTCAATATTAGAACTCTGAAAAAAAGTTTTACAATGTAAAAAGTCTTATGATTTGTTTTTTTTTATTTACATGATTCAAAATAAAAAAAAATAATAATTGTCAGATAATTGTACAATGTTGTATTATTTGTCAAGTACATTTAGGTATCTATTTTCATGGTATGGATGATTGTTTCAGCTTTGCGTGCACAGCAAAATTGACATAAGCCTCCCTGTAATGAGTAAAGAACTTATAGTGGATAAAAGGATATTTGGATAATTTGCTTTATATTAGATCAAATTTCTTCTGGAAAGTAACAGTTTCATAAGACTTTGGCTACATTAAATATAATACTAATACAAAATTACAAGATACTGAATATGATTTGATGTGCCATATGACTGGTATTATAAATTTATAGTCATTGCATAATGGTGTGTGCTCAAAGACTTTGCTCAGTATGTCGATCACCTGTCTTCATCCTTCTCATCTGTCATCTGTCCATTAGTGATATTTTTCCCTTTTGTGTTTTTGGTGTTACATCTTACAAAGTCTATCCGAATTATTTTTGCGAAGAATTCCATTCAAGCCGGTGATAGGTGCCATCTTTTATTCTTTTGTTTTATTTTGCTCCATGTTGAAGGCTTCACAATGACTTTGAGATGAAGAAAAGCAATAAAAGCGCTGTTCCTTGTTTTTTTGTGTGTTTTTTCTGTGCATGTACTGATTTTGTGTCATGGATGGGTAACCCATAAGATCTACAAATAAGTCAAAATGCAGAAGTCATTTACTTCTTATAGGAGTTGATACCAATTACTTGCAAATTTAACATATTTATTTACATTTTTGCCTATAACATATCTTGAAAACTTTGTGCAGAAAAAATTATCAGCAAGACATTAGACAAGATTTTGGTCCACACAGTTTCATTCTGTTCTGCACAAATGTTCTTGTTTCAATATCAATTTTATGCAAAAATGCCAGGTGAGCAATACAGGCTCCTTAGATCCTCTAGTTTTGTCCTCAAGTACCAGTAAAACGAGTCAGATTAAGATGATTGAGACCGAAATTTTTCAATTTCACTTTCCATTTTCAGATTGAGATATCATGGCTCTACCACCCTGAACATGGGCTGCAACTCTGCTAAACATGTCAAAGTAGTTGAAGATACTAAATCAGATAAAGGTAAGACAAATAAGAAGATAATGCAGACCCAAGTTTGGATATTAATGTTGTATTAGTTACCATTACAGAGTTGTGCCTCTTGACTTAATCTCAAAATGGTAAAAGGGATTTCTGAATGCTTACTTCAGATTTCTTTAAAATAAGACAATATAAATTTGCAGCATTGCTGATTACCATGAAATACAGGTCAAAATGAATAGGGGTGTGTGGCTTATATCTTAATGTGACAGCAAACCAAAGATGCAAATAAGTTTGTATTCAAGGTCAAGTATGACTTTCAATGTTACTGTAATTAACATTCCATAGTTATACTCCTTGCTTGTCTCAAAATTGAATTATAGAATTAGGTTTCTGAATGATGAGTTATTAGCTTGCTATTAATTTGGATATTAAAATTTGCATTATTATATCCAAAGCAACAAACTTGCCAAGGGTATAATGTTTTGTCCCGTTCATCAATTTTTCTGTCTGTTGCTCCTTTATTGTCAAAAGCTAGCACCTAAAATTTTGTCAGATCTTCTTTAAATTTTAATGAAGGATTCAACTCATCAAAAACTTTGATGATTTCGAAACTCAGTAAAATCAGAAATTGTGAATGATTTTTTTCAGGATATGGTCTTGTTGCCATGATAGTAGTGCCTTCATTTCTTCTCAGATCCACTGGAAATTGGTATGAAGGTTTACACCTATCAAAACATTAGATGAGATCCATAATAAAGAAAATCATAAATGAGGGGTCATTATTTCAAGAGGGGAACTTGTAAAAATATCATATATTAAATATGTGGGGCATGGCTGCCTGGTGTATGTTGGCTTGCTCAATAAAGCTGCTTTAATTACTCTCTACCATAAACTGCAGTTCTAATTAGTTCATGTCAGTATAGAATTGTAGAAAGTATAGCATTTTAAACAGATTCCAAATGATTGGTTTTGATTTTGAATTCCATTCTTGTTTACTCAGTAGAAACTCCTTCTCCTCAGGTTATACTACACAAAGATGGTGTAATTCTTATCCCTCCAAAACCCTTTTTGCATTATAATACATACTTAAATTATTTTTGGTTTTCTGTCAAGTAGTCTGTTATGGAATCATCCATTGGCTGTTCCTGGATGATATTTGTACATATAATATTTTATATGTCATTGAATAACTGTTCCGTTTTTGAATTTTAGAGCTATTTTGAAAAAAAATATTTGTCATTATAATCAATATTGTTTGTCTTTAAAAGTTTACTATCTTGGCAGTTGATAGAAATACTGAGATAGGTAAAGTATGATAGCACTATTTTGGTGATTTTATACAGAAGTTATAGTCAAATCACTATCATATAACACCTGATCACCTTATTTTAATTTTTATTGTAACACTTATGTTTAACAGATGTAGCAAGTCACAATGTCACTTTTTTTTGTTAGACATTTATTATTGTGATGTTATACAGAATAACAAATATATCAATCTTCATTTTTTTGCTGGCTGATTTTTAGCTCACCTGACCTGAAAGGTCAAGTGAGCTTTTCTCATCACTTGGCGTCCGTCGTCCGTCGTCCTGCGTCCGTCGTCCGTCGTCCGTCGTCCGTAAACTTTTACAAAAATCTTCTCCTCTGAAACTACTGGGCCAAATTTGACCAAACTTGGCCACAATCATCATTGCGGTATCTAGTTTAAAAAATGTGTCCGGTGACCCGGCCAACCAACCAAGATGGCCGCCATGGCTAAAAATAGAACATAGGGGTAAAATGTAGATTTTGGCTTATATCTCTGAAACCAAAGCATTTAGAGCAAATCTGACATGGGGTAAAATTGTTTATCAGGTCAAGATCTATCTGCCCTGAAATTTTCAGATGAATCGGACAACACGTTGTTGGGTTGCTGCCCTTGAATTGGTAATTTTAAGGAAATTTTGCAGTTTTTGGTTATTATCTTGAACATTATTATAGATAGAGATAAACTGTAAACAGCAATAATGTTCAGCAAAGTAAGATCTACAAATAAGTCAACTTGACCAAAATGGTCATTTGACCCCTTAAGGAGTTATTGCCCTTTATAGTCAATTTTTAACCATTTTTCGTAAATTTTTGTAATCTTTTACAAAAATCTTCTCCTCTGAAACTACTAAGACAAATTTAACCAAACTTGTCCACAATCATCATTAGGGTATCTAGTTTAAAAAATGTGTCCGATGACCCCGCCCGCGAACCAAGATGGCCGACATGGCTAAAAAATAGTACATAGGGTAAAATGCAGTTTTTGGCTCATATCTCTGAAACCAAAGCATTAAGAGCAAATCTGATGAGGATAAAATTGTTCATTAGGTCAAGATCTATCTGCCCTGAAATTTTCAGACCAATCAGGCAACCCGTTGTTGGGTTGCTGCCCCTGAATTGGTAATTTTAAGGAAATTTTGCAGTTTTTGGTTATTATCTTGAACATTATTATAGATAGAGATAAACTGTAAACAGCAATAATGTTCAGCAAAGTAAGATCTACAAATAAGTCAACTTGACCAAAATGGTCATTTGACCCCTTAAGGAGTTATTGCCCTTTATAGTCAATTTTTAACCATTTTTCGTAATTTTTTGTAATTTTTTACAAAAATCTTCTCCTCTGAAACTACTAAGACAAATTTAACCAAACTTGTCCACAATCATCATTAGGGTATCTAGTTTAAAAAAATGTGTCTGATGACCCCACCCGCGAACCAAGATGGCCGACATGGCTAAAAAATAGTACATAGGGTAAAATGCAGTTTTTGGCTCATATCTCTGAAACCAAAGCATTTAGAGCAAATCTGATGAGGATAAAATTGTTCATTAGGTCAAGATCTATCTGCCCTGAAATTTTCAGACCAATCAGACAACCCGTTGTTGGGTTGCTGCCCCTGAATTGGTAATTTTAAGAAAATTTTGCAGCTTTTGGTTATTATCTTGAATATTGTTATAGATAGAGATAAACTGTTAACAGCAATAATGTACAGCAAAGTTAGATCTACAAATAAGGCAACATGACCAAAATTGTCAATTGACCCCTTAAGGAGTTATTGCCCTTTATAGTCAATTTTTTACAATTTTCATAAATATTGTAAATTTTTACAAAGTATTTTCCACTGTAACTACCGGTCAAGTTCATTATAGATAGAGATAATAGTAAGGAGCAAGAGTGTTCAGTAAAGTAAGATCTACAAACACATCACCATCACCAAAACACAATTTTGTCATGAATCCATCTGTGTCCTTTGTTTAATATGCACATAGACCAAGGTGAGCGACACAGGCTCTTTAGAGCCTCTAGTTTAGTTTATTTGTTGTGATGTAGATACTGCTCTATATAAATCTGTACAGTTTTATTCCTGATTGATGCCTGAAGCTTGGTCAATTTGAAGGTCTGCCCTGGTAACGAGCTTTCAGAAAATTGTTGCCATTTTTAAAATTTTTTTTGCTTTCAATGACTATCTAATCTATTAGGTCAGATTTAATTCAGTATTTATAGAATTGGTTCCAACACTTGATACTATAGAGTTTTTTTTTTCATGAATTTTGTCAGTACTTTTGCAATTTCAATATTTGAAAGGAAAAGGTTGAATTAAGCCCTAAAATGTTCCCTTTTTATAGCTAAAATTTGAAATGAGTTTTCATTGGCTATTAAAACAATGACTAGATTTAAAAAAAAGATTGAAAATATATGTATTAGACATATTTTTTTGAAGTTACAAATGGCATCAATTGCAATTTTCCACCAAATTCAACAAAAATCTCTATTTTGACCTTTTTTGTATGTTAATGTAAACATTTCAATAGGAAAGTTCTACAAAAATCATTTTTGTCTCGCCTTCGACGAAAGTTGCAGTATGTGAAACAAATGTATTACTATCTGGTGTCGTCTGGCGTAAACTATTTGTAGAAAGCTTTATATTTCAGAAGGTAGAAGACCAGGATGCTTCATATCTTGTATGCAGATACCTTATATTACAAAGTTTCTGTCTGTCATATGTCCATTGTCTTGACCTCTTTTTCATGATTCAGCAGCTGCTTGAAAAAAAATTAGTTTTTTTGTCATGTGAATTTCTCACTTATTATGAGTAGTAGGATAACTATATTTGTTATATGGGTTTCTTGCAACATCTTCATGTCCGTCAGACAGGGTTCACCTGATCTCGACCTAATTTCATGGATCATTGAACATGATTAGGTCTATTTCTCAGATACTATAAGCAGTAGGTCAACTATATGGGGTGTATGGAATGATTGTAAGAGGTTCATGTCAGTCTGGCAGGTTTCATCTGACCTTGACCTCATTTTCATGGTTCATTGGTTAATGTTAAATTTTTGTGTTTTGGTCTGTTTTTCAAGTACTTGAAGCAATAAGTCAACTGTATTTGGTATATGGAATGAATGTAAGGTGTACATGTCATTCTAGCTGGTATCATCTGACCTTGACCTCATTTTCATGGTTCATTGGTCAATGATAGGTTTTTGTGTTTTTGTCGGTTTTCCAAATACTAATAGCAATAGGTGGGCTATGTTTGGTGTATGGAACCATTTTAAGGTGTGAATGTCTGTCTGGCAGGTATTATCTGACCTTGACCTCATTTTCATGGTTCATTGGTCAATGATAAGTTTTCGTAATTTTGTCAGTTTATCAGATACTATAAGCAACAGGTCAACTATATTTGCTGTATGGAATGATTGTAATGTGTACATGTCTGTCTGTCCTGGTTCATCTGACCATGACCCCATTATCATAGATCATTGATAATGTTAAGTTCATGTGATACTTGTAGTAAAACCTTCATGTTAAAGACTTTCAACATAAATTCAATGATAAGTTAAACAGGCAAGACATTTCAGCATGTGCACTCTTGTTTTTCTCACTTTTTCATATGTTTTCTCATCAACTTTCACTCACTTTTCGTCTTGAAATAATAAACTTGATATGAGAGGCCAAATAAGGCCTATACCGCATTATAACTTTGTTTGGATTGTAGTAAATTGAATTATTTCTTAATTTTTTTTAGTGATGAACATGTTGTTCAATACATTCTTGCTCAGAGTTTTATCAAGGAGTCCAAAACAAAAATTTTAACTGAATATTCTGTTTGGATTAGAAAAGTGAAACTATGAAATGATATTTATAATGCAATGTTCAGTATATACAGGTTTCAGCTTGTTATAGACAGGTTTTATTGTATCTAAATTAATCCATCATACTCTCATCTGAAGTAGGTGGATTCAGTATTGTATAAATAACACAAAGCTGAGAGGGTGATAGAGCAGATTGTTACCAGAGAAAACATTGTCAACCGAGGTGTTTTTTAATTCATTATACTGAATGTTCTGTTATTACTGTCCATCAACATCCAAATTCAAAGTAATCAACTATGACGTCTTGTACATAGCAACAATCCATATCTAACAAAGCGCACAATTGATCAAGCGTCTCTGTGAAGGGTAATAGAGTAATTGCCATGTGATAGAGTAAATTATCTCCCTTTTATTAACCATTCAAAATCTGGCATTTTGACATGAAGTATAATAACTAAATTGTCTTTGATTAAGTTTTATATCAAGCCTGTGTTTCAAAACAGGTGGAATCATAAGTTGTCTCATAGGCAATCATACCACATCTCTGACATATTATCCAAAGACTTTGTCCTTTCACAATACCAATTTGTTTAAATGTTTTAAAATTTAAATGATAACTTTTTAAAGGTTTACAGTGTATTTTCTATGTCCTGGAAACATATTTTTATGCCCCACCTAGGGGCATTATGTTTTTCTGTCTGTATGTCCGTTCATTCGTCCGTCCGTTCGTTCGTCTGTCCGTTCGTCCGTCTGTCCTGCTTCAGGTTAAAGTTTTTGGTCAAGGTAGTTTTTGATGAAGTTGAAGTCCAATCAACTTGAAACTTAGTACACATGTTCCCTATGATATGATCTTTCTAATTTTAATGCCAAATTATAGTTATGACCCCAATTTCACTGTCCACTGAACATAGAAAATAATAGTGTTAGTGGGGCATCTGTGTACTATGGAAACATTCTTGTTCCAGTATTAATATAACCATTATTGTTAGAAAATGTTTTTTAAAAAAATATTTTTTTTTCCTTGCCTGTGAAAATAATTTTAATTTTATTTTTTGCAGTGATCAGGTCAGCATTATTGATACAGAAATGGTATCGTCGTTACATGGCGAGATTAGAGGCCAGACGGAGATGTACCTGGGAAATATTCCAGTCTATAGAGTATGCTGGGGAACAGGACCAGTTAAAAGTAAGACATTCTTACACAATTACAATTTTATTTGTTTAATAAAGAACCAACCATTCATCTTTTGTTGGTTGTATGTTTTTTTTGGGGTTAAACATTTTTAAAGACTTTCATCAAGAACAAACTATTTTTTTAATAACATACAGGAACAAGAAAGTTTGTTTGAAACTCAATGTGGAATTTATTTTTGCTTTCCTAATCTGAATGGAAACAAACTTTTTTTTTTTTCACTTCTGTTCTGAAACGTTTTTATTCAAGTGAAATTTAGAAGCAAACATTTTATTTAAAAAAACCATGCCCCCCCCCCCCCCCAAATAAAAAATTAAATTATTCAATTGGAAGGCAATTCCAAAGAGATTTTTTTTGATAAACCCAATATTTATTACCCTTTCTAGTCATGATTATACAAAATTTATTTTATCTTTTTTGCAATTTGATGGAGTCAAAAAGCAAGATATAGGTATGCTGTTTCCGGTGGCGGCAGGGGCGGTGTCAACAATGTGTTAGTTTGTGATTAGGTCTAGTTTATGGTGAACCACTAGTGGTAGGTCAATGATATTTGGTATGCAGTTGTATAAATATTGGAACATCTCATTACCATAGAGATTATTTGGCCCCACCCTCTCAGTCATGGTCTATTGACTTTGAAACTTTGCTTAGTTTACATGTATTAGTTTGTGATTAGGTCAGTTTATTTGGAACCACTAGTGGAAGTCAATGATATTTGGTATGCAGTTGTATAAGCATTGGCTTATCTCATTTCAATGGAGATTATGTGGCCCTGCCCCCTCAGTCATGGTCTATTGACTTTGAAACTTTTGCTTAGTTTTCATGTATTAGTTTGTGATTAGGTCAGTTAAAGGGGAACCGTTAGTGGTAGGTCAATGATAATTGGTATGCAGTTGTATAAGCATTATCACATCTCATTTCCATGGAGAATATTTGTTCCTTACCCCTCAATCATGGTTTATTGATTTTGAAACTTTTGCCTAGTTTACATGTACTAGTTTGTGATTAGGTCAGTTTAAGATGAACCACTAATGTTAAATCAATGATATCTGGTATGCAAATGTATTGGCATTTGCAAGGTTCATTTCCATGGACATTATATAACCCCGCCCCCTCATTATTGTTCACGGACTTTGAAACTCTTACATAGTTTACAAGTTAATGTTTGTGTTTAGGTTTGTTTAAAGGGAACGACTTATGAAAAGTCAGTGGTATTTGGTATGCTGCAGTTGTATTAGCATTGGCACATCTCATTTCAATGGAGATTGTTTAGCTCTGTACCTTCAGTCATGGTTCATTTAATTTGAATATTTGCATAACTTACATTTTAAAGTATTGCTATTTTAATTTCAACATTTGCATTATCAGAATAACAAATAGACAAGACATATCTCTGTGTTAACAGTTTATTTCAAATAGGGACAACAGGGAGTCATTTTTCATATGGTCCTAAATATGCATGAACTATTTATACTAGACATGCATGAATCAAACAATGTTCAGCTATATATGGGAAGCACAAAGTTTGTAAAGTGTTATTTTCATTAGCAGGATAACTGTACATCATGTTGTTTTGTAGCTATACAACTTCTTTAATGATATGCTCCAACAGATGGAACCAGACAAATGTGGTCAGCCTAAAATACTGAGAGCTTTGTCTGTGTCAAAAAGACCGGTCAGTATGGGTAAGTTCTAAAATACTGAGAGCTTTATCTGTGTCAAAATGACCTGTCAGTGTGGGTCAGTTCTAAAATACTGAGAACTTTATCTACCGGTATATTAAAAAGACCTGTCAATCTGATTAAAAAGTGCTTAAACCTTCATCTTATTGAGAAAAACTTGTCATTCAAGTAAATATTAAAAATCCTGGAACTTTATCTGTGTGAAATAGAGCCTTTATTTGTATAAAAAAGACCTGTCAATCCTGAGATATTTATATGTATCTAAAAGACCAGTCAGTTTAAATAAAAAAGTGTAACAAAAATACCAAATTCCAAAGCAAATACAAAAAGGGGAAGACCATGAAAACTGACAAAATCAAACGATATCATTAATGGAACAAGTGAAAAACAAATGCCTATTCCTGACTTGGTAAGATACAGCTTTAAGCTTTATCTGTATAGACACAAAAGTGCCAGTGTATCTTATTGCACTTTCGATCTGTTGTCAATCAACTTTTAACTTTTCACATTTTTGTCAAATTCTCTTAACCTAAAAGGCTAATTTGAACTGAATTTGGCAGTTGATCATAAGATATGAATACAAATACTTTATTTACCCAATCATCATCAGACATAAAATATGTGACAAATGTCTATTATTGGAGGCTCTATGTTGATTTCTATAATTGTTGTTTTTCTGTTTATTGCTATATTGAATTGCTTACTGATTTATATCTCACATCTGCTTCTATTCATAGTTTGATTTCTATTTGTGAATGGTGCTATTTCAAAATTAGTAAAAATGATAGAAAAATCTTAATTTCATCATAATCAGCAGAGGGTGTTTTGCTCATTGTTGAAGGCCATACAGTGACCTATAGTTGCTTACTTCTATGTCATTTGGTCTCTGGTGGAGAGTTGTTTCATTTGCAATCACACCAGATCTTCTTATTTTTATAATACATAATGTTCAGATGATAGTGTTTGTTTTGTAACCTTAATAAAAACTGGTTGGCGGTGATAATTAATGACTGATGTTAGTTGATGATTCTGCTGAAAAGCTAATTACTGAAAAATGAGCTATATTGTCAGAGCTGTGTAAGGCAATTATTTTCTTAATGTAGTTTTGTACAAAACCCATCAACTATAGGTTCCACATTTCTTGTTTTAACACATTACTATATCCATTAAGGTGCATAATGTTAATTTAGGCTTTGTAAATTGTCTATTTCCACAAAGATAAGGTGTCAGTCATGTTCATTTCATTCCTAAATTTCCAGTAGTTTATTATTAGCAAGCAGAATAAGCAATTACAATAATTATGAGGCCTCTTTTAGGACATTTATTTTGAAGCAAAAAAAGATGAATAATAGATTTAATAACAAATATGACAAGAATGTTTTATGAAGTTTTTTTTGCAACTGTAAAATTGTTCAGGTGGAACTCAGTTTAAACTATGTTGAAGAATTTAAACCTGAGTCATTTATTTTCACTTATTTTAATTTGGAATTCAACAACAACTACATTTTTTCAAAATCTTCTGCAACAATCTATATAAAACTATAGCCACTTGCAAAAATATTGGTTGATAGATACAAGGTCTTTGCTGTAACTTATTGGAATACCATCAGTAATGATAAACAAATATTGTCTTCTGATTTCCCTCCAGTCTCATGTGGACTCTTATTTTATTATTTGTCCAGACAGACTACAAGGTCTTTAATTGAAAACCAAATTACCACATGACTTTGAACCACATATACAATACTGCCAAGTTGATAAACTTTTCCTTACTTCAATAAATAGCGGACCAGGAACTCATAATCAAATTGTTAGAACACTTTTCACCCAGACACTTGTGATTTAATCAAAGGAAAAATTATCAAGAAAGTTTTGTCAATACAGCATAATCTTTAGAAACGCTGTTGTATAGATGATAATTTTTTTGATAATTCAACATTTTTAGTTAAAGATCTGTATAACAAACATTGAATCATCACAAGATCATGTATGGCTTCAATGATGAGATAGGGCTCAATGCCTTTCTATAAGGTCATTATTTCTGAGAAAAAAAATCCTTTTCATTCCATTACTGTCCTTTATATCTTTCTATACCCAAGTTGTATTCAAACTATTTAAAGGCTTGTAATATACAGCTGCTAGTAATACCATAGCGGTGTTAATATGTTTTTGTAGAGTTTTATTAACAGGATTTCCGATGGAAAATATCGATTATTAATTTGGTGATGTACGGTGGTTGGACGGGCAACCGTGCGGGCTGCCAAACAGTGTCTGTGTAATAACTTGAAAATGCTTTGACAAAATATTTTCAAATACAGATATGTTCTTTCCTGTGACTAAATGAATGTCAAAATCCATTTTCTAGATTTTAGCTTTTATTGTTGTTGACCTTTAAGTAACAAAAACTGATACTTAGAGCCTTGTCCGTGCAAATATAACTTGAAACTGCTGTGACGAAATCTTTTCAAATTTAGATATGTTGTTCCCTGTGACTAAATGAAAGTCAAGTTCGATTTTCACGATTTTAGCTTTTATCGTTGTAGACCTTTAAGTAGCAAAAACTGAAACTTAGAGCCTTGTCCGTGCAATAACTTGAAACCGCTTTGACAAAATCTTTTAAAATTTAGATTTGTTGTTTCTTGTGACTTAAAGAAAGTCAAGTACGAATTTCATGATTTTAGCTTTTATCGTTGATGAGTTATAGACCTTTAAGTAGCTTAAAGTGATACTTAGAATGTTGTCCATGTGATATGTCACCAAGAGCCAGTGCACGTCGAGTTTAAGGGGGACTATCGAACATGCACAACCCAAGGGACAGGAGGTCAGTCTTTTGCAAGACTTGAGCAATGGCAGGCAAAACTATAAAGCAAGCAGCAAGTTTAACAGTTTTATATAATAACTTTTTTTTTCTTTCTTTCTTCTTTATAGCACTCAGATTGTTGTTGACTTTATAGAAAAAAAAAATCATATATAATAAACAAAAAGAAACAATTTAACAAAACAAAATACACCGACGAGACTAGACTAGACTGCTGACTACATCATGACTGATTTCAAAAAGTTGACTGTGCAATTTATAACACCTCTAATAAGAGCTCAAATTATGATGAGTATTACTAACTTTAAATTTATGTAATTTGAGTAATCAAATTTAACACAAAACTGCCAAAGGTAAAAAATAAGAATAGCATCAATTTAATTAAGCCAATTAAAAGATAAAACTATTTATATTAATGTTGCCTTTAGTAATTAGTGACATGCTGACAGAACAAAATTTACCTGACATAATAATTATACCATTTTCCTATTAATAATATCAAAATAAAATGTTTTCCAAAAATGACAAAAAAAAACTTTAAATACATAAACTACCCTATTACAGATAACTTGAAAAGGCTTAGATGAAAATCTTGTGATACTTTGAACGTTGTATGATTTTCACGATTGTAGCTTAAATTAATCAATTTTAAGTAATAGACTTGTGAATATCATTTTCATGCAGGAAAATCTGGTTTGCTGTCAATCTGACATCCTCTTGTTTATGATATTGTGAAGGATACAGGGTAACAACATATTTTTTGTTGTCTTCTTCATATTCACAACTTGCAAACACCTGAATAATTTCTTACAACAAGTGAATTGTTACAATTATGATTTTTTGTACTCTCAAAATAGAATATAAATGCTTGGATTATCTGGAGAATTGTTTATTGAAATAGTACATAAAATGAATCTGTAGCAATTTTAACAAAAATCAATTGTAGTCATGAATAATTCAGCATAACTTAAGAAGATCAACTTTAGTCTGAAGATTTTTATGGGTGAAAAAAACCCAAAAAAAACTGATTTTTACGAAAAGGATCTGAATTAAGTGCAAACAGTAACTTTTTATTCTAATTTTTTGAATTTGCTTCTTGTTTCTCATTTTCTAAAAATACCATTGAAGTGTTTTTCTGTTTAACAGTGTTAGAAAGATTTTAATGATAATTACATATAGATTCCACTACTGCAACAAGCGAGTTACAATATTTCTCCACTCGAGACAGTTAAATTTTAATATTTAAAGCACGAGGCTTGCTGAGCTTTTTAAATAATTAAAATTTAACTGTTGAGAGTGGAGAAATATCATAATACACAAGTTAAAGTGGTGGAATCTGTTTCTCTAATGATTTTTATCCTTCCTTTTCAAAGATTTGCAGACAGTTGTGTTCTTTATATGTGACGTCATCAGGCATGGTCGCCTTTTTTCAAGACGTCACAATAGGAAATTCAGAAGAAACCAAGAAAATTTGACGTCATGATTAAATTTCGACCAATCATTTGCGACAATAGTTATTTCACTAGTGAAGAGAACAATTTTTTCACAATCAGTTGAGAAATGTGATAAAAGTGAAAATATTTAAGAACTTTTCTTATCACTTTTTTAGTTCATATAGTACTTAAACATTAATGTCTCTACCTATTTCATTTAAAAATATGTTCATCGACATAAGAAATTATTGTACTTTAAGTCTTGTGTAAAATAGACCCTACATTTAATTACTTAACAGTTGCTCTATAATGTAAAAGATGATTATTGATTTTAAAAAAAAGGTCCATCAGTCTGACATTGCATGAGCTTCAGCTTTCATTTCTACAGTTCTCGTAGGATTTTGATGAAATTCATGTCTAAGTTTAACCTAAACAATATCTTGGACAAGTTAGAAATTTGTATAAATGAGTTATTTATTGGGGCAGTTATGTCCCTTTGAAATGTTAATACTATTGAAAACTAACAATGTAAATTCTGTGATTCCCACAAATTATCATTAGTTTTTAATGAAAATAATGTGAAAGGTTTCCATAGTAATATCTTGGAAGAGTTTGAGAAGACTGGATATTTTTTGGGAGTTTTAACATAGCCCACGGAAATGTAAACTACATTGGGAAACAGTGTAAGTCTTCTCCCCGCAACATTTCTCTTCAAAATTTAATGAAATTTATGACTAAGGTTACCATCAGCAATATCTGGAATGGATTGAAAATCAGTGTCAACAAATTATTTCTATGGGAGTTATTCCTATGAAATGTAAGATCATGTAAGTGGTATGGAAAACTCCAGTATATTTGCTGAGGACTTTAAGTAAAAATCTTCTTTTTCTCCTCCATATACTGCTTACATTCAGCATGTGAAATATTCTGGCACACATCCTATAGGTATTGGCTATTAATGCCATGGTGAAATGGTGAATTTTGTTATTAAAGCATATAATCCTCAGATCTTGCTAAAGAAAAGGTTTTTGTCTCACCTTGATGGCGTGGCCTACAAATGTATTAGTTTGTGATTAGGTCTAGTTTATGGTTAACCACTAGTGGTAGGTCAATGATATTTGGTATGCAGTTGTATTAGCATTGGCAGATCTCATTAACATGGAGATTATTTGGCCCCGCCCCCTCAGTCATGGTCTATTGACTTTAAAACTTTTGCTTAATTTTCATTTATTAGTTTGTGATTTAGGTCAATTTAAGATGTACCACTAATGTTAAGTCAATGATATTTGGTATGCAAATGTATTGGCATTTGCAAGTTTCATTTCCATGGAGATTATATAACCCCACCCCCTCATAATGGTTCATTGACTAAAACTTTTACATAGTTTACAAGTTAATGTTTGTGTTTAGGTTTGTTTAAAGGGAATGACTTATGAAAAGTCAATGGTATTTGGTTTGCAGTTGTATTAGCATTAGCAGATCTCATTTCCATGGAGATTGTTTAGCCCTGTACCTACAATCATGGTTCATTGACTTTGAATATTTGCATAACTTACATGTTAAAGTATTGCTATTTTAATTTCCACATTTGCATTATCAAAATTACAAATATGCGAGACATATCTCTGTGTTAACAGTTTATTTTTTGTTGGACACATTTTTGTTAGTGAACATCAGCATGGATTTAAAAAAAAAATGAAATTTATTGGTCTCAAAACAAGGAAAAAGCTAAAATAGAAGTACAAAAATGAACAAGTATTCATGGCATAGAATAACAATGACTCAGCTTCTCCATACTAAGTTCATCAAATTGTACTATTTATAGAAATAATGAGACTACAATTACTTTTTAAAATTTTAGTTACAACTATAAATCATTGTTAATGTCTATCAATAGCTTTTCCAGTTTGTATCTTAATAACTTGAATAGTTTTATATTTTATTTTTGTATCTTGGTTTTTATATCTTGGAATATGCATTTCAGGTTTTGAAATAATTGGTTTCTAGTTAAGAAAACAAAAGCAAAAATGAAACCAAACAAAAAACAAAAATAAACCTTTGAGATTTAAATGTATGTATAAGAAGATACAAAGGGTATTATTAACACCTAAGAGTTCAAAAATAAATCTTTTCAAAATTGGGGTAATTTTATTGATCAGTATTAAAATAGATATAATTAACAAATTAAGGCATCTCTCAGTCTATTTTTTTTAGTGGCCACAAAAGTTGATTTATCACCCAAACTACTTTTCACTCTAAATGTTTTTTTTTAATAACTTTGTAAAAAAAAATCAACAATCTGCTGATTGATCCTGCTTGTATAACTAAATGACAGGAAATTCCAATATAATTTTTAGTTCAAATAAAATTCAGCCATTACACAAATAGTCGCTTGACATTTCATGATAGAAATCATTAAAAGACACAATTTTATCTATTTACTCAACAAATTTTCCATTACCAAAATGGTATTCAGTGCAATTTGCTGTCATGTAGTTTGAGACTTCAGGCAATGCAATGTGCTGTCATGTAGTTTGAGACTTCAGGCAATTCATTGTGCTGTCATGTAAATGGTACTGTTAGTGTAATGTACAGAGTTATTAATGACAGGAATAGGGTACAGCAATTGACAATTGATGGTAATTTTTACCTGCGTCACCAAAGGCCAAAGCAGGTCTAAAAACTGGTTGACTCTGACCGTATGCTCGTCTTAAAGACCTTGGGTAGAAAACTTTCGTTAAGCTTTTCTTGGCCTCTATGAAATCGAATGATTTTTTTTTTTATTTGGTCTACAGCTTCATAATGTTGAATGGGTAAGTAGTGTTTACATCTGTGGTGCAGCCTCTTCCTGTTTGCCGATAGTTTAAAATTTTACCACACTCATTGTGCAAGGAAATCTTTTGTCAAATTTTTCTTGGCTTCTATTGAAGGGAATGATTTTATATTTGGTTTGGAGCTTCATAATGTTGAGTTGTAGCGTTTAAGCAATTTTTACATCTGCCATGCAGCCACTTCCTGCTTGGCAAAAGTTTGAAATTTTACAAAATTCATTGTACAAGGAAAACTTTTGTCGAATTTTTTTGTGGCTTCTATGGAAGGGAATGATTTTATATTTGGTCTCCAGCTTAAAAATGATGAGTTGTAGTCTGTAAGCAATTGTAACGTCTGTAGTGCAGACACTTCCTGTTTGCCAATGGTTTAAATTTCGCAACACTCAATGTAAAAGGAATATCTTCCTCAAAGTTTTTTGGCTTCAATGAACGGGAATGATCAGTTATGTTCCAGTATACATATTACTGCAATCAATTGCATGCAGCATTACAGATCCAGACAGGGCATTTTTCTTGTTTTGGTGTAAAATTTGATATGAAAATGACAATAAAATTTTAAGGCTAATTTTGATGTAATGGTGTAGCCAAAATGGGACATAATTGGTGTTGATGATAAAGTCTATTCTACAATTCCTTCTTACAGGGTATATTGATTAATAACGCTGATGGTGGACAGTAAAAAAGTAAAAAGCATCAATAACATCATAGCAATGGTTATTGAAAATTGCTGACTCATGATCAGAAGCAAACAATGACTGTACCCATAAAATAGAGAGTTGACTATTAAAAAAAACTTGACTCTGCCACATGATTATGTGCCTGTACCAAATCAGGCACTAATTCTTTAGTAATATCAAAGTGTTTTTTTTTATCCTATATAGAATTGGTTGTTGACAGTTGATCTCCAGCAGTCGTTGGTAAATTTATTATAAAAAATTATGAAAAATATTTTTGGTATCCAAAAGCAGGTTTCAATTATATATTGTAAAATTAAGATAAAATTTTATATAAGAATTAGTGCAATCATATACTTAATTTTTGGTGCAAATGATACAAGGTATTCCAAAAACTAGTGGTGCAAATGTTTAATTGGCTCAAAAATAAGTTGTGGCCCAAAAGGACACATTTTTGGTGCAAACAGCATTTTTTCAAAATATATACTGTTATTGCATAAAGAAACGACAAAGAATGATCGATACACCTTGAGCAAATGTGCTAAATATATTCACCTTGTGCAAATGTATTAATTCTCCAATGATTTGAAATAATATAACTTAATTGAATTCTGTAATGCCATTTGTGACATATTAGAAAAGGCTCCTCTTCAATCAAATTAAGGTATTTGAAAATCAATCTTTGATCCTAATCAAATTAATGAAAATCTCTTAGTATAAATGCCTTCAAGGACATTTAATTAGTAAATTAAAATGATTATCATCTTTTATCAGTTACCCCCTTTGAAATTAGCACTTCATCCTAGACTGTTAATTAATTATAGTTGAAATATAACCTAGAATTATCACTTTAATGTTTGTCAGTATCAAATAACAAATGTCAACACATCTTTGAAATAATCAGGTCTTTTTTGCTTTGATTTTATGTTGTTTCTTCAAATATGTACTGAAAAGCTTTTTGAGTTGTTCACATTTAAAACTAAAATGCAACAAGTTGGTATTTCCAAGGTCAAAATCATTACTTAAGTCATGAAAAAAAGAACATGTGAGCTATACCTGAATGAGGCAGCAATCCAACAGCACTAGACTTAGTTTTATGTAATTGGTGTGAAGCTTCTGCATGATCAAGAATTAGCATATGAAGAAAAAGTCTTATGTTTTGTTTTTTTTTTATGTACAACACTAATAAATGGACTTAGTTTTGGCAGTGAACATTACACTTTAACACTGACAGCAGCAATTGTAGGCAAGACACTCGGTTCATTGGAACACTTTTTTAAAATTGTTTAAAGTATATTTTGCTATTTCAATACATAGGGTTTATAAACTTTATTATTTATTGATTATAGAATAGTTAGTAGAATTGATAGTGCATGTGTTTGGTGTATAGGTTGTGGTCCAGTATTTATTGTAAAGAAAAGAGTTACCATTGTGAGGCTACCAAGACTTAGTCCTAAAAGACAGTATATAAGGGAGGATGAGAGTTCAATTAAAATACATTGAAGAGTAGAGATAAGAATTAGTTTATAAGATAGAGATTGATGATTGTTAAATTACAGCATATGAATGTAAATATATTGAAATTATTAAATATTTATAATAATTCAACTTTATTTTGTGTTAGTTGTTCTTATTCAATAATAAATATGTTTCTCATGTGACTTTCATGTGTAGCACATTGAATAGTGTAATTACTGGCAATCCTTATAAAATGGAAATGATGCAGTATATTTCAGTACAGCAAAATGTCTCTAAACTGGTACTTAGGAAAACCATCATTTCAAAATACTTGCCAAGAAGTAACATTTGATATTTGATCATTACAGATTCCCTTACTTTGGAAGCAGTAACATTTGATATTTGATCATTACAGATTCCCTTACTTTGGAAGCAGTAACATTTGATATTTGATCATTACAGATTCCCTTACTTTGGAAGCAGTAACATTTGATATTTGATCATTACAGATTCCCTTACTTTGGAAGCAGTAACATTTGATATTTGATCATTACAGATTCCCTTACTTTGGAAGCAGTAACATTTGATATTTGATCATTACAGATTCCCTTACTTTGGAAGCAGAAGATGCCAACATCTACCGTCTGTCTAATCCAGACGCTATCACTGTTGATCCAATGTATACTGGTCCCCACATTACATTTCCTATGACATACTCTCAGCTACAGAGCTTAATCCAAGCAATCAAATCTAAACAGGTATACAGTGAAATATATATTTTTAATCAAATTGGCTTATTAGAGTTTTGAAGCCATTTATAAAGTAGGAGAAGGACACAAAAGTAAATTGTAAGTTAATTGATTGACTAATGCATGCTTGATATTGTGTTGGCACACCATGAGTTAAGATGGTAAAAATGAATGGGAAGAAGAGGATGGGAGCTTCTGGATAGTATAGAATAAAAATATGTGGTATGATTGCCAATGAGACAACTCTCCACAAGAGACAAAATGACACAGAAATTAACAACTATAGGTCACAGTATGGCCTTCAACAATGAGCAAAACCCATATCAAAATGTTAGCTATAAAAAGGCCCAGAAATACCAAATGTAAAACAATTCATACGAGATACTAACCGCCTGATGTATGTACAAAACAATAAACAAAAAACAAATATGATATAAGGCAACAAAAGTCAACCACTGAAATACAGGCACCTGACTTGGGATAGGCACATACAGAATGTGGCAAGGTTAAACAAATGTTTGCTGGCACCAAAGTGGTTGTTTAAATGTAGAAATTTTAAATGTTCTGACCTAATCATATAACGCTTGTGTTTAAATTTAGATTTGACACAAAGAAACAAGACTAGCTTTGAACGGTGGTATTCTTTAGTTGATTTTTTTTTGTCAAATTGAATACATCCTTACTGCATGTTAAAGAACAATTATTGTGGCCTACTGCAATACAAAAGAGAATACACTGTATGGGATCATGAAACTAAATCACGTCATACATTTGATAAAATGATAAGCAAATTAAGGAGCAGCATTTATTGTATTGCTGTTCTTTAACTCAAAGTTGCCTTCATTATTTGAATTTGACCCTAATAATTTGGATTGTTGTTTGCTGGCACCAAAGTGGTTGTTTAAATGTAGAAATTTTAAATGTTCTGACCTAATCATATAACGCTTGTGTTCAAATTTAGATTTGACACAAAGAAACAAGACTAGCTTTGAACGGTGGTATTCTTTAGTTGATTTTTTTTTGTCAAATTGAATACATCCGTACTGCATGTTAAAGAACAATTATTGTGGCCTACTGCAATACAAAAGAGAATACACTGTATGGGATCATGAAACTAAATCACGTCATACATTTGATAAAATGATAAGCAAATTAAGGAGCAGCATTTATTGTATTGCTGTTCTTTAACTCAAAGTTGCCTTCATTATTTGAATTTGACCCTAATAATTTGGATTTTAAATGTCTTAAATTTTCAGGATATTCTGAAATTGAATTATGGAAGTCCTGAAATATTTCCTGAAATCCTGAAGTAGAATTATGTAGATCCTGAAATATTTCCTGAAATCCTGAAGTAGAATTATGTAGATCCTGAAATATTTCATGATGCCCTCAATGATTTGTGGATTTACTGCATTTGATAAAAGATAAGAAAATCCAGTAAATTGAAGCTATAAAGTACTTAGATAAAAAAAATACACATTATTTTCATATCTTAATCATGAATCCTAAAAAGATTTATGATTCTTGAATTTATTTTTTTACCAGGTTACTACATAAAGGAAGAATGAACATTTCTTGACAAATTTTCTGTTTTCATTTCAGAGATTACATGTAAAATATCTGTTAGAGTTACTGTTGGAAACTCGGGAAGAATTAAAGAAACTTGGAAATATAAATCAAGCAACAACTTCAATTTCACATAAAATAACTGTGTGTGGAGATTTACATGGCAAACTTAATGATCTCTTTATGATTTTCCACAAGGTAGAGTCTTTGGGTTATTGATCATTGACTTAGCCCTTTATACCAAATATTTCAAATGAAATGTCATCAAAAGATAAAATAGTTTGTTAGAACTTCATGTAATATGAAAACCACTAAAAATATTAATGCAAAAAAGGGAGATGGTGTATTGATTCGTGTTACAAAATCCCTACACACTTAAAAAAACTAAGAAAACCAAAAGCAAAGGAACAGTTCTTTTATTGCTGTTGTTTATCTCAAAGTCACAGTGTGTCCTTCAAAATAAAGAAAAAGTTCATGCCTCACTGCAAGTTAAAAACAGTCTGTAGCACCATAAATCAATTAAGAAAATCTGATAAAAAACCAACAAAAAAATAAATATTAGATTAAAAAAAATAGTGTCAACAAGGCTATATGTTTATGGATATTGATGAAACATTACAAAGTTGTAGAACACTAACTGGGAATATGCATAATCCAGGCTCAACATATTTGTAGGGAGATAATCAATTTGTAGATCTGAAGGTTATCCTTTTGTGAGTTAACTCACAGTTTCAGTTCATTTTGCTTTCATTTCTTATTTAATGACTAACAAATAATGGGAGACAACTAAGTAGACATCATGCAATTCATTGTCACTATTTACAAAATATATACAGCAGGGAATTTATTTCCGTCTTGCTTGAAGAATTTGTGGACAGAAAAAGCAATTATGTAGAAAATGATTTTAGTTTTATTTGTTACAGAATGGTCTGCCTTCAGTGGACAATCCTTACATCTTTAATGGAGATTTTGTAGACAGGGGAAGCAACTCTGTAGAAATAGTTATTATTTTATTTGCCAGTTTTCTGTTGTATCCAAATGAGATGTATATCAATAGAGGAAACCATGAAGATCATATAATGAACATCAGGTATGATATTATTAATGAGAATTTCAAAACTAGTCACCATACAAAATAATTTATCAATCCATAATTTTTTCAGTTCATAGTAAAAAACCTAGGTTATTGAAGGGAGATAACTACCATACTGAAAATAAAAGTCATTGAAGGGGAGATTACAATTTTTTTTAAGAACTTTTATTCCTGTTATTTGTTACTTTTATATAAGTATCACCACTAAGGGGTCCTTTTTATGAGTTCCGATTTAGTCAAAACTGTTGTATTTAGGGAGCTAGCTCAAGAAATATTTTAGGACCTTGATAATTATATTTCAGGATATATTTCAGGAAGTTCATAACTATTTCAGGACCTCCTCAATTCGATTTTACTGGATCAGTATCCCAATGATAATAATAATAATAATGATAATAATTCTTTATTTAAAGAGGGTTACACAGTTAGCTATAAAACTAATCTTCCCTGAGGCCCTCATAAAATACAATGAAATATAACAAACAATTACAAAATATCAAACAAAGACACATATATGAAAAAATGAAATAAAAAATTGTTATGAAATATACAATTTTCAAAACAGGTAAAAATTACAAATTCATATAGTATTGGCATCATTCAAATTACCTCAACAATATCTTAAGTTTGAGTAAGTGTGTGAAAATTATTATACATATAAAATTACACAGCTTCTTAATGTTCCAACAAGTAATTTTTTAAATCTTTTTTGAATGAGCTTGTACTTGAGGTTGATTTTTTCAGGGATGTTGGTAAGTTATTCCATAAAATAGATCCTGAATATATAAAAGATTTCTTATACAGCTCTGTTTTGGCTTTTGGAACTTGTAAATTTTTGCAAGGCGCATTCCTCAAACAATATTGGTTTATTTCTGGCATTTCTTTAAATTTTTCAGTGAGATATACAGGGGCTTCGTTCTTAAGGCATTTCTGAATCAAAACAGATTTGTGGTATGAGATTCTGTTCTCTACTGTCATCCACTCAAGCTGTTTAAACAGTGGAACTGATGATGAAAGTGGATCAGCATCTAAAATAATTCTTGCAGCCCTTTTCTGCAATTTTATTATTCTGACTAGCTCATTTTTAGCACAACCACTCCAAATAATACAACAATAATCTATCAGTGGGAGAATATAGCCATTATAAAACAATTTTCTTGAATCAATATTTAGAAATTTCTTGATTTTAGAGAGTAAATGAAGTCTGGATGATATTGATGAACATAAGTAATTAACATGGCCTGTCCAGGACAGATTAGAGTCAATTCTAACTCCTAAAAGTTTTTCAATTGATGATTTTTGAAGAATATTATTCTCAATAGTTAGAATGGTTCTGCTTGATTTAAACGCAGCCTTTGTCTTGTACCTATAACCATTCATTTAGTCTTATCTGAATTTATGAACATGTTATTTTTATGACACCATTTTTCAACACATTGGAGATCATCTTGTACTTTTAATGCATATCAGCAATACTCTTTCCTGATGTATGCATAGTTGTGTCATTAACATACAAGTCTGTATGGCAGTTTTTAATGTGTAATGGAAGGTCATTTATGTACAAAACAAACAAAATGGGACCAAGTATTGAGCCCTGTGGAACACCAAAATTTATAAACTTTTTATCAGAAAACTAATTATTTATATGATAAGAACTCACATTCTGATATCTTATACATATATATCTGTAGGCAGATTTTTATGAAATAGAAATAATTAATCTCGCTTTTTTGTCCATTCTTAAAAAATCAAAATAAGAAATGTACACAATATTTTCTGAATTTACAGAAGTTTAATCATGATAACTGTCAATGAAAATGAAGCCACCCTGCCAACTATCCTGATATATGGGGGATATTCCCCATGAGAGGTGTTGGCCTGAATTTTGAAATTCTTTATTATATAAACTGAACACCTCAAAACAGACATTCAAATGAGTTAAAAGGGTATTTAAGCACATATATACTCATTCAAACAATGTAGTAGTAGATTAAGAACATTTATGACAATATAAGAGAGCATAAGGTCCTCTTGTGCTTAAAATCCCCTATGGAGATTTTGAAAAGTTGGCAGGTATGTGAAGCTGTTTGATGAAAGATGGGTTACAATGTAAAACAGGTAATAATTGGATTAATTGGGGGATGTTAAACTGATTCAGAATCTAATGCTGCTTGGACAATTTATTTTAAAAAGTACACATCAAAACATTATTAGTTGATAAAATCCTTAACAATGGATATTCATTAAATGGTGTAAACATATTTTTATTTTGGTAAACAATAAAATTATCCATAATCCTTTAGATTCTGAATCAACTAATTTTATTTGAAGAGGAGGTGATTATAATGTAATTCAGTCTTTGATATGTTATAGGTATGGATTTGTGAAGGAAATCAACAGAAAATATACAGTATGTATAAATAAGATCATACATTACCTTGCATTGGTTTGATTTTTATGTAAAATGAAGCAAACACTACAACACAGATTGCATTTTTGACTACAACAACTTGTGAAACAACTTTTCTCAGAATTTTTGTACTTTGCCTATGATAGTAGAGGGATATGTTTTGTAGTATTTTTTCTGGTCTGTCCATTTGTCAATTCTTCAGATTGTCTGTTCATTCGCCCATATGAGGTTAAGGATTTGGTTACAGTAGTTTACCTTCAAGTTGTGGTCACATGACCTCGGTACATATTTTCATTATAACGTGAACAACAGTCGACTCTCGTTATCTCGAAGTCAGCAGGACCAGAGAAATCGTTCGAGGTACACATAGTTCGACTCAAACGAATACGGGAAGTTTGACAGACAAAGGTACACAACTCTTGCTTAGCTTGGTAAGGCTAAAATAAATCCAGATGAATATGGGTAGGGGATCGATATTCTGGTGTAAGAGTGATGTATCTGTATATAATATTCTTTTAAAAAAAATTAAATTAAATGATTTTTCATCTCTTATTTATTTTTTTTGAACTGTTGCAATTTTTTCCTGTGGTTTTTTAGACAAGAGAGTAATTTCCAATCAATCTAAGTGTGATTTGAAGTTGACAAAATTGCTCATTCTCGTAAACAAGAGATTTTAGAAAATTTAGATTTTCCTTTTTTATTTCAATCTTTTTCTGCAAGAGAAAATACAAAAAGATTAAAGATGCCGATTGAGTAGTTTTGAGATGATCACTTAGTCTTTATCCCTACTTTATGCACAACCAAACTCATTAATGTATGATTAAGGCTAATTGTTTTTAAAACATTTTAAATAATTTTTCATAAACAATGTATAACTAATTATTTATCATGGGGATCAAAGATAATCTTAGGTAAACACTCATGGAAAAAGAATGTCAAAAGTCAATACAGTGTTCAGTGACCAGAAATTGAATTACACATGAATTGTCAGATAAACTCTTCAATCAATTTTAATCCAAGAGGTCATGTTTTGACATATTGGAATTAGTTTGAGATAAATAATGCAATTTGAATACTTTTGTTAACCTTGGGACAGTAAATCTGATTCCAGTCAACCAAAATTCCGACTTATCGGGAGTCATATATTTATATGGACTAAAGTTTGCGACCACGGGAAAATTTCAACTCATCCAAAATTTCGAGTCAACAGAGTTCGAGACAGCAAGAGTTAACTGTATTTAAATTATATGCCCAAGTAGGATTTTGACTCCAATTTCACAGTTTGATGTCATATGGGGCATGATGTCCTATGGACACAGATACTTTTTATGCCCACGCCGTAGCGGAGGGGGCTTTAAGTTTTACCCTTGTCCGTCTGTACGTACGTACATCCGTACATCCTAAAATTGGTTTCCGTTCTCTAACTTTAGTTTGCCTCAACCAAATGTTATGAAACTGATACACAATGCTTATTACCACAAAACACAGATCACATTTGAATTTTGGTGGCATTCACTTGTACCGTTCTAGAGTTATGCCCCTTTACAAATGGAAAAATTGCTGAATTTTTTGTTTCCGTTCTCTAAAGTTTGCCTCTACCAAATGTTATAAAACTTATACACAATGCCTATTACCACTAAACACAGATCAAGTTCGAATTTTGGTGGCGTCACTTTTACCGTTCTAGAGTTATGCCCCTTTACAAATGGAAAAATTGCTGAAATATTCGTTTCCGTTCTCTAACTTAAGTTTGCCTCAACCAAATGTTATGAAACTTAGACACAATGCTTATTACCACAAACACAGATCAAGTTTGAAATTTGGTGGTGTCACTTTTACCGTTCTAGAGTTATGCCCCATTACAAATGGAAAAATTGCTGAATTTTTCGTTTCCGTTCTCTAACTTAAGTTTGCCTCAACCAAATGTTATGAAACTTATACACAATGCTTATTACCACAAAACACAGATCAAGTTTGAATTTTGGTGGCGTCACTTTCACTGTTCTAGAGTTATGCCCCTTTACAAATGGAAAAATTGCTGAATTTTTAGTTTCCGTTCTCTAACTTAAGTTTGCCTCAACCAGATGTTATGAAACTTATACACAATGCTTATTACCACAAAACACAGATCAAGTTTGAATTTTGGTGGCGTCACTTTCACTGTTCTAGAGTTATGCCCCTTTACAAACGGAATAAAATGCTCTGCTGGGCACAGCTTGATACAACCGCAGAGGTTGAACCCTGAACAGTTGGGGCAAGTATGGACACAACATTCAAGTTTGATACAGCACTGAATTTGGATTGTGATTAAATATTTGACACAGCATAGGTTTCTGACACAGAATGAATGTGGTCTAAGAACTTAAAAATTTTTAATTTACCTATTCAAACCATATCATTATTATTTGCTTTTATATATAAATCAGAAATAACCAATTTAAAATGGAAAATTTTAAAGGAAAAAAAGGGAAAAAAAGGGAAAAAAAATCCCCCCCCTCCCCAATTTTTTAACCCCCTTATGCTTCATCACCCCAAAACTCAATCCCAGCCTTCCCTTTGTGGTATGGTACCTTGCAGTGCAATTTCAGAGAGATCCATATACTTGAACACAAGTTATTGTCTGGAAACTAGAAAAATGCTTGTTTTTTTGCCCCAAATTCCTAAACATTTAGGGCAATTGCCCCCAAACTCAAGCCCAGCTTTCCCTTTGTGATATGGAACCTTGTAGTACAATTTCATAAAGATCCATACACTTACACACAAGTTATTGTCCTGAAACTAGAAAAATGCTTGTTTTTTGCCCCCTTTTTGGCCCCTAATTCCTAAAATTTTGAGGCAATTACCCCCAAAATCAATCCCAGCCTTCCTTTTGTGGTATGGTACCTTGCAGTACAATTTCAGAGAGATCCATACACTTGAACACAAGTTATAGCCTGGAAACTAGAAAAATGCTTATTTTTGGCCCCTTATTCCTAAACGTTTTGGGCAATTACCCCCAGACTCAATTCCAGCTTTTCCTTTGTGATATGGAACCTTGGAGTACAATTTCAGAAAGATCCATACACTTACACACAAGTTATTGTCATGAAACTAGAAAAATGCTTGTTTTTTGCCCCTTTTTTTGCCCCTAATTCCTAAAATTTTGAGGCAATTACCCCCAAAATCAATCCCAGCATTCCCTTTGTGATATGGAACCTTGTGATACAATGTCAGAGATATCCATACACTAACACACAAGTTATGTCTGGAAGTTACAAAAATGCTTATTTTTGGCCCCTTTTTGGCCCCTAATTCCTTAACTATTTGTACCATAACCTCCAAAATCAATCCCAACCTTCCTTTTGTGGTATTGAACCTAATGGTAAAATTTCATAAAGATCCATTCACTTAAACTAAAGTTAGAGTGCGAAAACCAATGTGTCTTCGGACGACGACGCCAACGTCATACCAATGTATAAAAATTGCTGAAATATTTGTTTCTGTTCTCCGACTTTAGTTTGCCTCAACCAAATGTTATGAAACTTATGCACAATGCTAATTACTACAAAACACAGATCAAGTTTGAATTTTGGTGGCGTCACTTTTACTGTTCTAGAGTTATGCCCCTTTAGAAATATAAAAATTGCTGAATTTTTCATATCCGTTCTCTAACTTCAGTTTGCCTCAAATAAATTTTATGAAACTTATACACAATGCTTATTACCACAAAACTCAGATCAATTACAAATTTGGGTAGCGTCACTTTTACAGTTCTTGAGTTATGTCCCTTTATAACGTTATATGCAAGCGGTGCATCATCTGTGTCCCATGGACACATTCCCCATTTATTTATTATTACATGTATATCTTACTTTTCAAATTAAAAAAAATTTAGAATACTAAAAAGTATTACCTATTCGACAGTCTTGTCTATCTCTGCTATACTTTTGCTTAATATTTTGCACTACTATTGGCACCATTTGTGTTGCTCGGTATAATTGGTTTTAATAGAAGTTTCAAAATATTACAACAAAGATTTAATTCTTTAGTGAAAAAGCAAAACTTATTATCTTTATTATATTTTACCCAATATAGTATAAAAGTATATTTTGAAAATTAATCTGCTACAGGCACATGCTACTATGGTGTTAAGGCTCTTTGAAGATGTGTTCAGTTGGTTACCAATAGCAACATTAATTGACAGGAAGTTGTTGGTGGTGCATGGTGGGATATCAGATACAACAAGTCTTAGTGATATTGCAAAGATTGATAGACATAAGGTAAGAAGAAGCTTTAAAAGAAGTAAACATCAATGCACTGTAAAGTGAAATAATCCCTTTCAAATCGCATGATTATATAAAGAGAGGGGAATTACTATCTTCTGACTTAAACTGCAGTATAATTTCTAGTGTTGATGAGTTTTGTACCTGGACGCTGCATCTTAGTCTGACCTTTTATTACTGATTTGAAAAATTAGCAAAACATATACCAAGTTCAATGAAGGAGAACAAAAATTTATTCTTGTACTACTTTGACAAGGTTTTGATCTATGACTGAAAATAGAATGGGTCTTTCTCTGTACAAGCATTTAATGGATAAGAATTATTAGTATACTAATAATACAGTATAGGATCCTCTTCCAGTTTACTTGTAGCTGTTTGCCTGTATTTATTTGAAGAAGTTTTGACAAAGTTTTGACCTAAACTTAAAAAACCTGTAATTGACTTTCAAGGGGTCATCCTAATTGGTTTTCTATTACAAGGTAACACATGTGTAATTGTTATTTGCTAGATTTATATGCTTTCAGTTCCTGTCAATACTACATCCACCTAGAGAGGATGGAGATATAACCAAGTTAACAGAAAGTGAAATAATGGAATGGAAAACGGTATTGTCAACATTTTTTAAGTATATCTGAAAATAGTACTATAAAAATAATATATGAACCCAACAACAAAATAATACCTATATAGATATTTAAATGAAGATAAGAATATATGTGAAATATATTTTCTGACTTGACAAAACACATAAGAAAACACTGCATAAAATTTAAACCTCTAAACTGAAATATATTTACCTGTGTCTTTGATGGGGTTACTCAATCTTTAGTTTTTATGTAAAGTGTTTTCTGGACTGTTGTTTAATTATCTTTTTGTCATTTTTCTTTTGGCCATGTTTTTGTCATCATGGAATCATCTCCCTGTTTCACACCTTACAGAGAGTCCATAGTGTAGACTTAAACAATATTCATTGATATCAATTGATAGTTTTAATTGTATGAAAACCTTTAAATTGATGTTTAGCTTTCAGGGGCGGATCCAGCCATTTATGAAAGGGGGGTTCCTAACCCAGGATAAAGGGGGATCCAACTATATGTCCCCATTCAAATGCATTGATCGTCAAAAAAAAGGGGGGTTCCAACTCCCGGACCCCCCCCCCCCCCCCCTGGATCTGCCACTGGCTTTATAGTGTGTGTTGGATAAAGTCTAACCTAACAACACAGCAAAAAATTATAAATTTACTGGTCAATATATGTTTTGAATACCATTAATTATAAAAATATTTAAAGGAGATGTGGTATGATTGCCAATGAGACAACTACCGGTATTCACCAAAGTTCAAATGAAGTGGATGTAAGCAATTATAGGCAACTGTATGGCCTTCTCAATGAGAAAAACCCATACCGTAAAGTCGGCTATAAAAGGCCCCGTCATGAAAAATATGAAACAATTTAATTGAGACTAAAGGCCTAATTTATAATTTATAACAAAACAATTCACGAAAAAACAAATATGACACATGAACCAATGACAACAACTGAACTACAGGCTCCTGACAGGCACATAAAGAATGTGGCAGTGTTAAACATGTTTGTGAGCGCCCAACCCTCCCCCTAACCTGGGACAGTTGTGTTACAGCACAACATAAGAACAAACTATAAAAATCAGTTGAAACTGGTTTAGCTCGTCAGATCGATACAAAGCATTAAAACGTCTAACAGAAACACAGACAGAACGTGGCAGGGTATTTATACATCCCTAACAACAAAAGACACAAAAATCTGAGAGTACTCGCAGTTCAAAGCCAATAACGATTTATAAAAGAAATCATGTATCTAAGACTAATATATCAATTAGTACACATCCAACATCCAATGGATTTAGTGTAAAGACTTCATTAACAGTCAGAGAAAACACAGGCACTTGTCTCAGAAAAAAATTTTCTTATTTACCTTAATATGTTATATTTAAGTATTGACAGATTGTAGTACCGTGAAAGTGCATATGAGTATAACAATACTATGTAGTATGGTTTTAATTTACTGATAACAAAATCAATATTTATGCCAATAAAAAAATATTCAAAGATCTAATTACAGTGTTGAATGGTAACCTTTTAGAATAAGTTTATTTAAAGGATTGATAAGTTTACCTGGATCATATATAAACTTCCGGGCTTGCTTGTTGTTTCATTTTACTGTAGTAATTAAACCATTTTTAGCTCACCTGGCCTTAAAGGCCAAGTGAGCTTTTCTCATCACTTGGCGTACATCGTCCGTTGTCGTCCGTCATCATCATCGTTGTCGTAGTCCGTCGTCGTTAACTTTTTCAAAAATCTTCTCCTCTGAAACTACTGGGCCAAATTCAACCAAACTTGGCCACAATCATCATTGGGGTATCTAGTTTAAAAAATGTGTCTGATGATCCTGTCCGGTAATCAAGATGACCGCCATGGCTAAATATAGAACTTAGGGATAAAATGTAGATTTTGGCTTATATCTCTGAAACTAAAGCATTTAGAGCAAGTCTGACGGGATAAAATTGTTCATCAGTTCAAGATCTATCTGCCCTGAAATTTTCAGACAAATCAGAGACAACCCGTTGTTGGGTTGCTGCCCCTGAATTGGTAATTTTAAGTAAATTTTGCAGTTTTTGGTTATTTTCTTGAATATTGTTATAGATAGAGATAAACTGTAAACAGCAATAATGTTCAGCAAAGTAAGATCTACAAATAAGTCAACATGATCAAAATGGTCAATTGACCCCTTAAGGAGTTATTGCCCTTTATAGTAAATTTTTAACAATTTTTTGTAAATTTTTGTAATCTTTTACAAAAATCTTCTCCTCTGAAACTACAGAGACAAATTTAACCAAACTTGGCCACAATTATCATTAGGGTATTCAGTTAAAAAAATGTGTCCGATAACCCCGCCTACCAGCCAACATGGCCGACATGGCTAAAAATAGAACATAGGGGTAAAATGCAAGTTTTGTTTATTATTTTTTGAACCGTTATAAATAGAGAAAATCTGAAAGGAACAAAATGTTCAGAATGATGAGCTCTACCAATTGTCTATATACGTCACAACTGTTAGACAAATTCTTATAGGAGTTATTGCCCATAAATGACAAATTTTACCATTTTTTTTCATTTTTGCCTATTATCATGAAAACTATGATATTTTAATAGAGAGAAACATTTTTTTTCCGTTATGCCTTATATGATTTAAATTATAATAGATAAATAAACACTTTAAATCACAAAAATGGTCAGCAAGGCAAGATTTATTAAAAAGTACCGACCGTGCGAGGGCTGTATGGCCAGTCAAGGTCGTTAAAAACTCCCATCATCATTAAAAAGTCAAACTTTGCCGATATAGTGATTGCCCTTAAATGAGGATATTTTTTACCCTCTTTTGTGTTTTGAGCAAAAACTAAAGAAGATAGAGAGAAACTAAACAGACTAAAAGATCAGTAATACAAGATCAACAAAATAGAGATTTTTGTCATGAAGTCTATTCTCGTCTACAATGTTGGAGAGTGTCCTTTGTTTGATATGCACATAGACCAAGGTGAGCGACACAGGATCTTTAGAGCCTCTAGTTTAAGATGTTTCAGTCTCTGGCTTTCTTCAGTTTCTTTATTATCCTTCTTAACTATATGGTTGACATTTTACTTCCTCAATCATTAAGATGTTATACATTTTTCTAAGAAAATTTTGAAGTCACATGAGAAAATGTGATACACCACAAAACAAAAAGTTCAAGTGTTGCAATATTTTCTTCAAGTGTCACAGATTCTTAAATAGAAATAAGGTCAATTAAAATTACTGTACTTGGTACACTCCACTCAACACCATTTTTAATTACCATAAAAGTATAGATACGGAATAAAGTCATATGATTTGCATTTTTTCAAGATGTTATAAATAATGAGGAGTTATCTTTGTACACAGGTTTGCTGTACTTCAAACTCATTCAGATTTTTATTTTTTCAAGATGTTAGATATAATGTGGAGTGATCTTTGTACACAGATTTGCTGTACTTCAAACTCATTCAGATTTGTATTTTTTCAAGATGTTAGATATAATGTGGAGTGATCTTTGTACACAGGTGGGCTGTACTCCAAACTCATTCTGAATTGTATTTTTACAGATGTTAGATATAATGTGGAGTGATTTTTGTACACAGGTTTGCTGTACACCAAACTCATTCAGATTTGTATTTTTACAGATGTTAGATATAATGTGGAGGGATTTTTGTACACAGGTGGGCTGTATTCCAAACTCATTCAGATTTGTATTTTTACAGATGTTAGATATAATGTGGAGTGATCCTCGTACACAGGTGGGGTGTACTCCTAACACGTTCAGAGGAGGTGGGGTTTACTTTGGATGTAACGTGACTGAATCATTCCTATCCAAACATCAGCTACAAGGTATTATCAGGTCACATGAATGTAAAGCTGATGGATACGAGTTCTGTCATAATCAAAAGGTAATTTTGTGTATTTTATCGATTGACAGTTTTTATTTAACCTTAACAATGTGGTTCCTATCTTTTGATGTCAGTAAGGTACTGTTTTTTTATTCAGACCTGTCATTGTTAATCATAGTTTCACAGGGTATTTTGTTAACTATCATTTGGTACAATTTACTCCTATAACTTAACAGAACGTAAATTGTTTGTATTAATAAAACATTCTTCCTTTATATTCACTGTGTTTAAGTCAATTGTTATTTTATTTGCAGTCATATATTGCTATCACGTCGTCGTTGTCTGAAGACATTTGATTTCCGGACAATTACTTTAGTTTAAGTATGGATCTCTATGAAATTTAAGCAAAAGGTTCAATACCACAAAAGGAAGGTTGGGATTGTTTTTGGGGATGATGGTCCCAACCGTTTAGGAATTAGGGGCCAGAGAGGGGCCCAAAACAAGCATTTTTCTAGTTTCAGGACAATAACTTGTGTATAAGTATTTTGATTGCTCTGAAATTATACCACAAGGTTCAATACCACAAGTAGAAGGTTGGGATTTATTTTGGGGGTAATTGCCCAAACCATTCAGGAATTAGGGGCCAAAGAGGGTCTAAAACAAGCATTTTTCTAGTTTTCAGACAATAACTTGTGTTTAAGGTGGGTCTCATTGGGGTCTAAGCATGACGCGGGATTGCCGATTTTTTGTAAGCGTGACACGTGAAAGTCAAACTATTGTGCCGTGAAAACGGGAAATGAATAAGCGTGTTGCGGGAATCTGACAAAACAGTAAGCGGGATCTGGGATCAGAACCCCCCAATGAGACCCCCTTTAAGTGTATGGATGTCTCTTAAATTGTACCACATTTTACAAAAAGAAAATTTCTTCAAATATTATTTTTTTTGGAGGAGGGGGGGGGAGGTAAAATTATTTTTGTTGGGGGGGTCACAATTTATTTTGCTAATTCTTTGTTTATAGTCTGAAAACAGATTTATTGAGTATTGCGCAACAGCACAGTGTATTGCACAACAGCAAGAAATCTTCAATTGAATATAAATTCAAATCATATAACCAATTTCAAGTTCTTTGACTACATTTATTCTGTGTCAGAAACCTATAATGTGTCAAATATTTAATTACAATCCAAATTCAGACCTGTCATTGTCTGGAAGTGTCTGTTTTAATTGTATCTTCCTAACAAACAAAGGAATATGGCCACAAAGGCTTCAAATTGGCCTTAACAATCAAACTTGGTTATACAAGTATGTAAATGTAAAAACCTATATTTTCGATCTTGAATATGCAAATTTAAATAAACTAAACACTTTTGTTGTCTGCTGTTCATTTTAACAATGTTGACAGCTTCAAATGGATGATATTTTACAAGTTTTTAGCCAAATTGCCTTATTTTGTGCTTTTGTAAGGTGTATTTACTTCTGAAAAATATTGGTCACACCCTTCGATCAAAATAAAATTGGTATTAAAAATGGGTCTCATTGGGGTCTAAGCGTGACACGGGATTGCCGATTTATTGTAAGCGTGACACGTGAAAGTCAAATTATTGTGCCGTGAAAACGGGAAATGAAGTCTAGAGGGACACGGGAAATTACAATAAAATGAGAATTGCTTACGTACATAGTGTAAGCGGGATACGTGAATCTGACAAAACAGAAAGCGGGATCTGGGATCAGAACCCCCCAATGAGACCCCCTTAAAAGATGTATATGGGTCAGATACACATCCTAACAAAAGGTGGGGTGGTCCTTGCATGTGGCCAATTTCTTTTGAAGCAAAAACTATTAATATTTAGGAAAATATTCGTCAAAATTATTATTTTCTTCATTTTAGTGGACAATTTTAACGTCATAATGACATCACAATAGTTCTAATGTGTCAGAGCTGATGATTTTAGATTTGTCAGATATTTTGAATATTATCTCATCAATCATTTATTTCTATTACTAAATTTTAATTTCACAAAATTTAAGGGCCAATATGGACCCTTCATGAACCTACTCCTTTGCAAGAATAACTCCCCAAACTGTTCTTTTGCAGAAGACCTCTATGTTCACACAAGGTTCATTTCACATTTCTAATTCAAAACAAATAAAATGTCATCAAGTTGCACTGTGTGATGTGGTGAAATTCATGAAAAATTTAACTTTCTTTTTTTTATTGAATATTTTGTTTGATCCAGATAGTTAGTACAGGGGGTTGGATAACCAGTGAAAGACAGTATAGCTAGTCATATTATGAAGCCCTTTATTTATAATGACATGCCCAAACTTGAAGTTTAGAAGAACACTTCCTGTATTTTCTATTACAGGTATTAACAGTATTCTCAGCATCTAATTACTATGAGTATGGAAGTAATCGTGGTGCTTATCTGAAAATTGTTGGTAGGGATCTACAATACAACCTGGTACAGTACTCCACGACCAAGGCTTCACGGAGAAAAATTACGTTTACGCAAAGGTACAGTAATAAAGTCAAAGAATTAACGGAGTTACCAGAAATATACAGCTTAACAGACCGCACCAACATCTGAGTCTTCTGATAACAACACATGGTCCAGATAGCCTGACTTGGTACAGGCACAAAATCTAGTGGGGTTAAACCAGTTTTAAGGGGGATAGTTGTGGGTAAAGGGATATTACTCTGAAATCACTGCTACGTTTATAGAACCCAATTTAAAAAGAATATTGTAAGCTCTTAAGTAAGGTAGTAACACAGATTAATATGATTCTGTTCACAATACTGCTTAAAAAGCATAGATGAATTTTTTACAAGTACATTACTGGTTCAAAGAGTTACCAACCTAAACCATACCTGTCAACTGACCTGTATTCTGCAGGTGACACCCGTAAATTTCACCCCTCACCGGGGATTATCCTGGGAATGAGGAAAATTACCTGTTTTCATCCGTATTCTTGAGCCTTCAGACTTTTTAAGTATGAAATGACAGATTTCATCAGTGATTTTCCTTTGAAACACCTGCAAATTCGTAATTCTTCCTGGACAGGAAGTTCAACTAGCTGTGTTAACTGTCAAATTAATTGACCTCAGTATGAGAATTGTGTATATTATTGTTCCTGTTGCACCTCAGGGTGCCAGAGTAAGTAAAATAAAGTTATGGTTATCAATATAAATCAGTTCATAAAAATCTGTTAACTCTGTATTATAAAGGTATAACAAACATAGGAACATTGTATTTACCATGTATATTGTTGATTCATTAGCCATTTATTGAAATTTCATGATCCATTAGCCATTTATTTGAATTTCATGATCCATTAGCCATTTATTGGAAAATTATGATCCATTAGCCATTTATTTGAATTTTATGAGTTGTATTTTTCAGAGTGAGTAATTTTGAAACGTCAGCACTACAAGATTTGAGAGAGAAAATATTGGCTTCTAGAACACAGCTTGTTCAGGAGTTTGAAAAATATGACAAGTCTGTTACAGGTTTGAATACTTGTATTTTATTATTAGAATTTTATTTAAACATTTCAAAGATTTTAAAGCTTCAAGCACTTGCTACAAATAATCATTTATTATTCCATATAAATTAGGGATGTCAACTCGGTGAACAATTACTAATCGAGTACTCGTTGGTTTTATCGAGCGATACTCGAGTACTCGCTCGGGAATATATCTACAACACAGAAACACAAAAATACATACTTAACATTCTGTGGTTTGCTGTTCAACAGACAAAAAACCATCTACATAAGTATCTGGGACAAAGAATTGCACACCATAATTAATAGCTCACTAGTACTAATTAAGTAAAAAACAACAATCTAATCAATATAATTTAATGAACATCTATTTAAAAATTATAACAAGGAAAAACCCGACATATCAAACAATTGTATTTGGTAATCCCTAAGAAAACACATGTAATGTTTACAAAGGCGTAAGAATTAGAAGTTTAACTATTCACTCAGGGTCACCATAGGATGCAACGAATTTATTTTATTGGGAATCAATTTCTAGTCAACTTTTATTGGGGATAATCAGTTTGCAACTTTGTAAATTACAGTCTTGTTCTGACGGTACCAATGTGACAGAAAGACTAAGTAGATATAGGAAGATGTGGTATGAGTGGCAATGTGACAGAAAGACTAAGTAGATATAGGAAGATGTGGTATGAGTACCAATGTGACAGAAAGACTAAGTAGATATAGGAAGATGTGGTATGAGTGGCAATGTGACAGAAAGACTAAGTAGATATAGGAAGATGTGGTATGAGTGGCAATGTGACAGAAAGACTAAGTAGATATAGGAAGATGTGTTATGAGTGGCAATGTGACAGAAAGAGTAAGTAGATATAGGAAGATGTGGTATGAGTGGCAATGTGACAGAAAGACTAAGTAGATATAGGAAGATGTGGTATGAGTGGCAATGTGACAGAAAGACTAAGTAGATATAGGAAGATGTGGTATGAGTGCCAATGCCAAAGACATGTTTAGTTTAAAGTGTTAGCCTAGGTATAACCCACGTATTTTCGCCGGCATTTTAAATGACAATTTAGCACAAGCATTCGAATTAAAATGTATTTTATCTACTAGTATGATTAATTAGTGATGCCTATTTAATTTTCCGAAAGAGGTTCTCAAGAAGATTAATTTTATAAAAAGAAGACAGCAATATTCTAACAGGAAACCGATTAGTCGAGTATCGTTTTGGTATTCGATACTCGGTACTACCGAGCGATACTTGAGTACTCGTTGACATCCCTAATATAAATATTTCAATGGCGTTGTTTAGCAACATTTCTGTCATGTCTGACAACACAAAAATTGATTGAAAATATCTGTATGTATTCTTTTATTAACATTATGATTAGACATTTGTTTATATATCAGGTCACAATTTATGGAATCAAATTGAGTAAATTTTTAGATTATGCACGGCAGTGCTTGAGTCCTATTCTGTTTGCACTGGCCATATTAAAACGTAAAAAAAAAAATTGATTTCATTGAAAAGCCCTTATCATCAGAACTCCAACAATGAGCAAAACACAGCAAGCCAGAAAAGGATCTGGATAATAAAACGCAAAAAAAGAGAAATACAACAGCATGACCTTGACCACAACAATAAGAAAGAAACAACTAGGTCAGACAGCAAACAACAACAACCATAGCAGACAATAAACAACAACAACTATAGTGAACAGCAAACAACAACAGCCATAGCAAACAGCAAACAACAACAACCATAGCAAACAGCAAACACCAATAACTATAGCAAACAACAAACAACAAACAACAACAACCATAGCAAACAGCGAACACTAGCAGACAACAAATAACAACAATCATAGCAGACAGCAAACAACAAACAACAACAACCACAAATATTTATTGTAAATAATTCTATTAAACTCCCACCTTAACTTTATATGTTATTGTATTTTACAGGAAAGGTAGCAGTAAAAGAATGGTGTATAGTAATGGAATATGTTATGAAGATGGATTTACCATGGAGGTCATTAAGGTCAAAACTTGTCAAAGATGATCCTGGTAGTGATAAAATGGTGCTGTATCATACAATGTTTGACCAATATCATCTTTATCATAGATATACTGGGGTAAATATCATCTTTATCATAGATATACTGGTTCAAAGTAAATATCATCTTTATCATAGATATACTGGGGGTAAATATCATCTTTATCATAGATATACTGGGGTAAATATCATCTTTATCATAGAATTGTCATATATATATTATACTGGGGTTTATTATCATCTTTATCATAGATATACTGGGGTTTAATATCATCTTTATCATAGATATACTGGGGTTCAATATCCTCTTTATCATAGATATACTGGGGTTTAATATCATCTTTATCATAGATATATCTGGGTAAACATAATCTTTATCATATATATAAAAACTGGGGTAAATATCATCAATGAAGTTGTTGCACCTGCTATTCTGGAAGTGTTTTTAGGATAAACTTATAATAGATATCTAATTATTTCTTTTGTTTCTTGAATTGGAATCTTGGTCAATTTTCAGCAAATTTTCCAAAATATGGTACCAATTTTGTGTAGTCACGCCTACAATTTTTATAGAAATATTAAACACATATTGAACTTGTGCACCTGCTTTTATGGAATTACTCGAGGATTTTCTTCTAATTTTTCCAGACTTAAGAACTTTGTAATTTTCAGCAAAATACACAAAAGAAAGTACCTTTTTTATGTAATTTACTTCTCCTACAGTCTTTAAAGGAGATCATTGAAACTTCACAGAAAGGTTGCACATATATTGAAATTATGCACCTGCTATGATGGATTTTTTTTAGGAATATGTCCCATTCTTTCCAGAATAGGGAACTTGGTCATTTCAGTATTATTTACAAAAGACAATAACAATCTTGTGTTGTCACCTCCTAAAGTTTTTCCAGAAAAATTACACACATATTGAAGTTGTGCACCGGTTTTTATGGAATTACTTGAATTTTTTTCGATTTTTGCAGACTTCAGAACTATGTCATTTTTAGCAAATACATAAAAGACAGTACCTTTTTATGTAATTAAATCCTCCTACATATTTAAACCAAGATGATGGAAACTTCCCTGAAAGGTTGCACACATATTGAAGTTGTGCACCTGCTATTATGGAATAGTCATATCTTTTTTTTTTTTAAACTTGTGAACTTAAATCATTTTTTAGGAAAATTTACAGAAAATGATACCACTTTTGTGTGATGAACTCCTCTTACAGTTTTTAACTTAGAAAATTTGCACACCTATTGAAGTTGTGCACTCCCGATTTTGGAGTTGTTTAAAGATTTTTACACTTAATATTTCCATATATGTTCAATATAAATTGAGATTAATTAATTGATGATTACTTAACGTCATGTCATCTCTAAAACAGCTATGTCTTCGATCCATATTTACAACTTTAATTCTAGTTGTTACAGAGTTATAGGACTTTAAATGCTTAATAATAGAATGGCAAATGAGGTTTGCTTTGCTTATAATTGTTTTCTTCAGAAAATTGTATTATAGTGACTCTAAATGTCTTAAATGTTTAAGGCTTGTTGTTCTGAAAGGACGTTGTATAGCAGCACGAAGATTTTGCACAGATCACAGATCCAAATACAGAGAGTTTCTAAGTCTTTATTTGCACTTGCATCCTCACAATTTAATATTATAGGTCACTATACCTTGTTTTAACTAATAATTTCAGGCATTTTTGTAAATTGCACAGTGTTTTCAGCTAACTTTTCCTGCAGGCCTTGCTGGACGGCCATTAAATTTCCAGCACCATATTTGAATTTTGACAAATAAAATTTTATTTTTTCAGACAGTAAGTCTAAGTCTTTTTGTGACTTATAAATATTTAAAATAAATAATTCAGACATCTTTATAATCATTTCGAACAGTTAAATAATTTTTTCTATTCTAGTTAAGTTCAAATTTTTGACCACATAGTCTGTAGTCTAGACCCCCCTTCTCTTATTTTATTTTCTTGTTAAAATTTTTATCGCATATATATATAGTTTAATCAAACCTTTAAACACACTGTACTTGTGTTTCAACCAATATCCTGTGTTTGAAAGATAAAAGAAAACTTAGAACTCTGTTCCCACAAAGATTGATATATGTCTCAGACTAAAGTTGTAAAGTCAAGCAGATACTTCAGAGTAAATAAGAGAGATATTCAGGATAAAACAGCCCAAAGCCAACCCATAATTATATCTGATAGTAAAGGCAACTACATAAAGAGAGCTATTACAACTGAAGACTTCTTAAACATAAAATTTATCACAAAAAAAGGACAAAAAGTACAGCAAACTATTGATTGGGCCGAAAAAGAATTACCATCTATCTGTCATCAACACAAAAACATCACATTTTATATCTGGCTAGGAACCTGTAATTTAACCGAACTTAACAAAACTACCAGATACATCTCTCTCTGAACCAAAACGATTCAAACGTCCGACATCTAAGAAGAAAATTTATTGAACTTAAGGCTGTCATCACCAAAATAAAACCAAAATCAGAAATCATCTTCTTAGAAGTTCCGCCATACTCCATTCAGTGCTGGAACAGATCACAAGGCCACAAAAACCCGGACATTTTCAGTGAAGACGATCAAACACTTCAAAACCAGTTATATCAATTAAACACCTTCATCCAAGAAATAAACCAATCTGCAGAAAAATCACCAAAATTTGATCTAGACATTCGAAAAACATCTAAAAGAAAAGGCGGTACATGTACTGACGAATACTACAACTTTAACCTATACAAAACTGACGGTGTACATCCAAACTCATTATTAGCAAAGCTCTGGATGAGAAAAATAGCGACCAAAATTCTCCACCAATGTTATAGATAGATATCATCAATACAGTAGAATAGAATACTATTTACATATATATATAAACTTTATAACAACCATATTTAATTGCATTCATATATAGAAATATAACAGCTTTTATATAACCCTAGTCTATATTGTATAACTAACAAATATAGAGATATATATCTACATACTCATTAAACCCTGACATCGGAAGATATAATAGTTAACTGGAAAATTCTTATTTGAGCAAGCTTTTAGTGGGGAAGCCCCGCTGAATGCACATTAATCTACATAGAACTTCCTCCTTAAAAAATAAATATCTAAAGTGAAAAATGAGTATCCAGACTAGAACATCAGCAAGAACCTAGAACAAACCTCAGCCCTATACACCAGCTAAATATGAAAACTTTAGTATCAATAAAACCAGGGCCTTGGACAAAAAGCTAGAAGCATGTAATAGAACAATGGACATAAAAATTGAGCAGAAACATCAAATCTACATCCTAGAGCTATCAGCAGCTGCTTATGAAATTATAAAGGGGGAAATAGACATATACTTTGAACAACACTCTACATACAAGCTCTTGCCAAAACACCAGCATGATAATCAAGGGCTATGCATCAGAACATCACATTCGGTCAAAAATAGAAGTAGTAACAGACAACTCTATCGTATCAATTTATTCCATACTACATCAAAGGTAGAGGTTAATGGCCAAGGTATGGAACACTTCCTGACACACATTGAAGATATAAAATAAAGAATGAAATCAAGAGGGACTATAAGATATATAACAAACAGATAGAGGAACAGGTAAACATAATTAAGAGAAATGAAGCCGATATAGAAATAAGAGCAAAACAGAATGAGTCACTTGTAAAAACAACAGCTCATCAGCCTAAAACCAACCACAGTAATAGAATACTAGTATCCAAAGGGGCAGAATGTATACAAAATACAGACCAAGAACTTCTAAGTAACTGGAATAGAGCCATTGAATGGTCAGAAGATGAACCAACACCCAGTCAGGATACAAGTGCAATCAACATAAAATTGAGAATGGAAATGGGGAATGTGTCAAAGAGACAACAACCCGACCATAGAGCAGACAACAGCCGAAGGCCACTAATGGGTCTTCAATGCAGCGAGAAACTCTCGCACCCGGAGGTGTCCTTCAGCTGGCCCCTAAACAAATATGTATACTAGTTCAGTGATAATGGACATTATACTAAACTCCAAATTATACACAGGAAACTAAAATTAAAAATGATACAAGACTAACAAAGGCCCGGGGGGGTTACTTCCTATATTTTTAGTGGTATGAGTGTGCCGCAAAACAGGGTCGCTTTTTCATGCCCTGCTGGTTAGAACAGGGTCCCTTTTTCATGTCCTGCTGGTTAGAACAGGTTCGCTTTTTCATGCCCTGCTGGTGAGAACAGGGTCTTTTTTTAAACAAAGTATTTGTTTACGGGAAATTGACACAATTATTAATTTTTTGCTTACATTAATGAATTGTTTGGTGACAGGCTATACATTTCTGAACTAGTCTAGCACATATAGGTCTCTGTCTAGAACAAAGTATACATTTTCTGAGCGTGTCTAGAACAGGGTATACATTTCTGGGCGTGTCTAGAACAGGGTATGTTTTTCAATATTTCTGTTTAGAACAGGGTATGTTTTTCAATGTTTTCTGGTTAGAACAGGGTATGATTTGGCAAGTGCTGTCGGCACAGTTATACCCGAAAGGATAGTCAGTAACCCCCCCGGGAACAAAGGCCGGAGGCTCCTGACTATGTGTACTATACATAACTACTGTGCCATATGCAATCAGACAGCACAACCAGAAATATCCATAGACTGTATTGCATGCGGCCAACTGTTTCATTATACTTGTGAAAACATTGATCCTGTAAGGATAAGCCAAACTGAAGAAGAACAGTATTCATGTAGGAGCTGCTCTATAATGGACATGGACGTGGTTAATATATCACTGAGAAGCAATAACTCAATTATAGATACAGAAGAAACAATACCAAAAGTAAGTATAGAAGAACAAGTCTCGACAGAGGAATATAGTGAAATGGCCCATATAGCTAAAAACGTGCCAGACAATACATCTAAAGACAGTCCAACTAGAAATGATATTACGAAGGAGCAGGAAATGCAAACACAGAAGAATTAGAAATGAATGGCAGAAATGAACAAATAGAAAATGTAGATGAGACAAAAAACATGAAAGCAAAACCGAAAAGGCAATATAAGTGCAAAAATATAAATGAAACTACTCAACAGCTGGAAAATCAATTAGCACAATGCAGAGCAAGACTAGTCATAATGGAAGATACCAATAGAGACTAGAAATACAATCAATCTACTTAGGATGCAAACAGAAGAAAGCACCATTGACAAAGGTAATTTAAAATGCTATCAGCCAAATTGTAACTGTAGCAACAACTCACAGGAGCAGACTATAAACAAAATAGATATGAAGCTGAACAACTTCAGGCTAGAAACGGAAAATAGAGACCTAAGAATTAAACATCAAATGGAAATGAATGAATTAAGAAATAAACTGCAAATAATGGAACAACAGAAAGAACTAAGAATGTGGCAAAGACCAGGAAGTCATGAATGTTTCCTTATAACCAGAATATGGATAATACTAGGAACACAAACCAACACCAAATGAGTGATCAGCATACTGGCGTACAGCTAACAAATCAGCAATCCAGGATTCCTAATCAAGCCAATCCACTATTCATGAATCATTTATAATATAAATGCTACAACAACGTCATACTGGATAGCATTTTAAAAAGTGGACTTGGAACATGTATTGGTGATATACAAGTCCCTGCACCCACATGTGCCAATGACATTGCTGTCCTGGGAAATAGTACTGCAGACGCACAAGGAATATTAGACATAGTACAGCACCATACAAGCAGAGATCTAGTTAAAATCAATCCAATGAAATCTGAAGCTGTTTTATACAATGTTGTAATTCGAAGATGATGACATCAATATAACCAATGAAACCAAACATCTAGGTATCAAAAGAAACGAGCAAAACCGGGCAAATATTTCAGAAAGAATAAGAACCGGCAGGGCAACAATATACAGCCTTCTCGGAGCTGGTTTACATGTCAGAAGGGGATTCTCACCCATGGTCGCATACAAGCTATGGAGAACATATGCAGTACCAAGAAGCATCTACGGACTTGAGGTGATGAACTTACTTGCAAAAGAAAAGGATATGCTAGAACTGGTAGTGAGAAAAATCCTCCGACAAATTCAAGGGCTTCCAAATAATACAGCAAATATGGCTGTCTATACCCTGGTAGGAGCAGAACCTATTGCCATCACATTAGACAAAAATCTACTTACCTTCTTCATGAATATTGTTCGAAATTCAGGAACCATAGAATGTGAAATTCTGCGTCGACAAATAGCATTCTCAGACCAAAGAGGAAAAGACTTTATCATCAAAATACAATTTGAAATCTAGTAGTTACCACATAGAAAAACCACTTAAGAAAATCGAATGGAAAAGACTAGTAGGAATAAAGATCATGGAATACTGGAAAATTGAATGTCATTATGAAAAAATGGAAAAAACATCATTTAAATACATAGAGATACAGAACAATCCATTAAATGAAGCACACAATATATGGAAAAGCGTAAAAAACAATAGTAAAGATGTAAAGGCAGGAGAAATAAAAGCAAGAATAAGTACCCAAACGTACATATTACAAGCCAAAAGAGCTAAGTTCGATCCGAAAGTTAACCCGATATGTACAATCTGTGAACAGGAAAATGAAGATCTTGAACATTTTATTCTACGCTGCAAAGAATTGGAGCAAATAAGATCTAAATATTGCTCAAAAATCGAACAGACAATGGATGAAATTGATACCTCAACATAGAAGAAGATCATACAACAAGGGAATTTACTGCAGCTCATAATGGACTGTACTAGCAAGGACATAAACTGTTACCCAACTGTGTATGAAAACATTGAAACTCTGGCTAGAAATATGTGCTATGAGATGCACATGCTGCGCACAAAAAGGATAAAAAACTTGAACACAAGTACAGTATAAGTAAACTTTTTTAAAATAGAATAGTTCCCTACTTTACCATCTTACTATTTTATGACTTATTAGGACCTAAACTAATTTTTTGCAAAGTTTTAAGATATCAAGTACCTTTAAAGAATAATGATAAGATCTAAAATAAGGTAATTTTAAACTGTGAAGGAAAACTCATGTATATATGTTGAATTGTTCTAAACCCCAACCCTTTTACATAAGTCTTATAAAATAACCTTTTCATTATAAATTCTGATGTACGTATAGCACCTTTAACTAACAATTATAAGAAAGTTTAATTTAAGACCATTTAAATTCTAAATTCTTATATGATGATAATCCTATGAATTAATTATAATATTAATTATTTAGTAATTATTATTGCCTAAATTCAGTCATCTGTACATAATTAAATGTTTCCTTATGTTTTAAGGTGTATATAGTTGCTACAATTATACCCTATGGGTAGTGCTTCACAACTAATGGAGGAATATACAAGAAACTGAACTGAACTGGTGTATCATGATTTATTGGAACAGTTTTTTAATGTAATGATTTTTCATAAATTTTTTTCAGAATGGTCCAACCCTAACAGAGATGTTATACAGAAATAAGGACAACTTAGAAACTATATTTAGAATTTTAGATAAAGACAATTCTGGTAAGTTATCATTTCATGTTTTTATTGAACTAATTATTGAACAAGTTTTCATTGAGCTTATTATTGAACAAGTTTTTATTGAACTAATAATTGAACAAGTTTTCATTGATCTAATAATTGAACAAGTTTTCATCAAGTTTTTAATCAACTGATTAATGAACAAGTTTTCATTGAACTTATTATTGGACAAGATCTCATTGAACTTATTATTGAACAAGTTACTGTGTAATGTATTGTGTTCCTAAGTGATGTTTGCCAAAAAAATACCACTTTAAACTAACATGATATATTTGTGTAATATTTCAAACTCAACAATCAGGTCTGTTGGGGCACACAAAACAGTAGTAAATTTGATATATTATGACCAATTGCTTGTAGTACTGGACAAAAATTCAAATGGTAGACAAAAATTACTGTATGATGATGTAAGAAGACAAATAATGAAAATAGTTTACTGATTAAATAAAATTTTTATTTCTTTTTAAAAAATACTTTGAAACATACAAACTTAAATCGGAATTAAACATATTTATTCTAAAACCAGTTGTTGGCATGGCACGGGTTATGTTCTTCTCATATATTTTATGATGGTATAATACTAAACCCCTAACAGGAGGGATTGTGTCTGATATTCATATGATGAAGACATAATCTTTCAATCAGTTTAATTGAGGTCTGGAGCTGGCATGTCAGTAACTGCTAGTAGTCTGTTGTTATTTATGTATTATTGTCATTTTGTTTATTTTCTTTTGTTTCCTATTCTGACATCGGACTCGGACTTGTCTTAAATTGAGTTTTACTGTGCTTACTGTTGTACGTTTGTTTTTTCTACATTGGCTAGAGGTATAGGGGGAGGGTTGAGATCTCAAAAAACATGTTTAACCCGGCCGCATTTTTGCGCCTGTCCAAAGTCAGGAGCCTCTGGCCTTTGTTAGTCTTGTATCATTTTTAATTTTAGTTTCTTGTGTATAATTTGGAGTTTAGTATGACGTCCATTATCACTGAACTAGTATACATATTTGTTTAGGGGCCAGCTGAAGGACGCCTCCAGGTGCAGGAGTTTCTCGCTGCATTAAAGACCCATTGGTGGCCTTCGGCTGTTGTCTGCTCTATGGTCGGGTTGTTGTCTCTTTGACACATTCCCCATTTCCATTCTCAATTTTAAAATACTACTACATTTTTAACGAACAAAAAAACTTGAATGACATAAAAAATAAATGGAGAATGTGTCCATGGGACACAGCTGATGCCCCCTCTTGCATATAGCGTTATAAAGGGGCATAACTCCTGAACAGTAAAAAAGACACCACCCAGATTAGAACTTGATCTGAGTTTTGTGGTTATAAGCATTGTGTATATGTTTCATAACATTGTGTTGAGGCAAACTAAAATTAGAGAACAGAAACCAATTTTGGGACCTATGTACGGACGGACGAACGGACGGACAGATGGACAGACGGAGGGACAGATGGACGGACAGATGGAGAAGAGTAAACCTTAATGCCCCCTCTGCTACGGTAGGGGCATAAAAACAGTCACAATTTCTGATAAATTTATCACTTGTTATTTGTTTTTTAATCTTTTGCAGGTCAGATTTCTATGGAAGAATTTGAAGAGACAATCAAGATGTTGATCAAACATCAAGGACTTAAGGTTCCAGAGAGAGACATTCTTGACATTGCACACAGCATTGATATTAATAAAGATGGATCAATTGACTTCAATGAATTTCTGGAAGCTTTTCGTATTGTTGATCATTTTGGTATAAATCGCACCAGACGACGTATGGATTCTAATGAATCAGCAGATTTTCATTCAGTAAATGGTAGTATTAGATCAGTCAATGTGTCTCCTACAGAAATGACCAGAAAGATTTCTCGCAAAGTTTCCAGACGAACAAGTTTAAATGAGATTGTGGAAATTTCTGCTAGTTGTAAAGACCATTCCTTATTAAATGACAATTTAGTACAGGAACTTTCAGAATGTGATAAAACTTTAGAATGAGAAATTACAGCGACAGTATACCTTGAATATTAAACAGAATTAAATGAAAATTTTTTGGAAGACAGCCTATGTAAAGAATCAGGATGCATAGGTTTTTTTTATATCTTTTCTTGCAGTACTTGTACACCTAATCAGTTCTTTCACTTTTTATACGACCGCAAAAAAATTTTTGTGGTCGTATATTGGTATGACGTTGGCGTCGTCGTCGTCGTCTGGCGTCGTCCGAAGACACATTGGTTTTCGCACTCTAACTTTAGTTTAAGTGAATGGAGCTCTATGAAATTTTACCACAAGGTTCAATACCACAAAAGGAAGGTTGGGATTGATTTTGGAGGTTATGGTACCAACAGTAAAGGAATAAGGGGCCAAAAATAAGCATTTTTGTAACTTCCAGACATAACTTGTGTGTTAGTGTATGGATCTCTCTGACATTGTACCACAAGGTTCCATATCACAAAAGGAATGCTGGGATTGATTTTGGGGGTAATTGCCTCAAAATTTTAGGAATTAGGGGCCAAAAAAGGGGCAAAAAAACAAGCATTTTTCTAGTTTCATGACAATAACTTGTGTGTAAGTGTATGGATCTTTCTGAAATTGTACTGCAAGGTTCCATATCACAAAGGGAAAGCTGGAATTGAGTTTGGGGGTAATTGCCAAAACATTTAGGAATTGGGGGCCAAAAAGGGGCCAAAAATAAGCATTTTTCTAGTTTCCAGACAATAACTTGTGTTCAAGTGTATGGATCTCTCTGAAATTGTACTGCAAGGTACCATACCACAAAGGGAAGGCTGGGATTGATGATGGGGGTAATTGCCTCAATGTGTTAGGAATTAGGGGCCAAAAAGGGGCAAAGAACAAGCATTTTTCTAGTTTCAGGACAATAACTTGTGTGTAAGTGTATGGATCTTTCTGAAATTGTACTACAAGGTTTCATATCACAAAGGGAAAGCTGGGTTTGAGTTTGGGGGTAATCGCCCTGAACGTTTAGGAATTTGGGGCCAAAAAGGGGCCAAAAAACACATTTTTCTAGTTTCCAGACAATAACTTGTGTTCAAGTGTATGGATCTCTCTGAAATTGTACTGCAAGGTACCATACCACAAAGGGAAGGCTGGGATTGAGTTTGGGGTGATGAATCATAAGGGGGTTCAAAAAATTGGGGGGGGGGGGGGGGGGGGGGGTTTTCCTTTTTTTTTTCTTTTAAAATTTTCCATTTTAAGTTGGTTATTTCTGATTTATATTTAAAAGCAAATAATAATAATATGGTAGGAGATACACACCAAACAGGATGTGTAAATTATTATATAATAAGTATTGTGCAATAGCAAGAAATTTTCAATTGCACAGTATTGCACAATAGCAAGAAATCTTCAATTGCACAGTATTGCGCAATAGCAAGAAATCTTCAATTGCACAGTATTGCGCAATAGCAAGAAATATCCAGTAGCACAATATTGCGCAATAGCAAGAAATTGTCAATTGTACTGTATTGTGCAATAGCAAGAAATGTTTAATTGCACAGTATTGTGCAAAAGAAGATACTTCGTATAAATTGCTTATTTCTTGACCAATTTCAATGGGGTTTTATTCTTGACTTCTTGGGGTTCTTTAATATGCTGAATCTAACCGTGTATTAAGTTTTTGGATTTTGGGTCCCGTTTTTAAATTGGTCCACATTGAGGTCCAAAGGGTCCAAAATTAAACTTTGTTTGATTTCATCAAAAATTGAATTATTGGGGTTCTTTGATATGCCGAATCTAACCGTGTATTTAGATTCTTAATTTTTGGTTCCGTTTTCAAATTGGTGTACATTAAGGTCCAAAAGGTCCAAAATTAAACTTAGTTTGATTTTAGCAAAAATTGAATTCTTAGGGTTCTTTGATATTCTGAATCTAAACATGTATTTAGATTTTTTATTATGGGCCCAGTTTTCAAGTTGGTCCAAGTCGGGGTCCAAAATTAAACTTTGTTTGATTTCAACAAAAATTGAATATATGGGGTTCTTTGATATGCTGAATCTAACCATGTATTTAGATTTTTGATTTTTGGGCCCCGTTATCAACTTTGTCCACATTGAGGTCAAAAGGGTCCAAAATTAAACTTTGTTTGATTTCATCAAAAATTGAATTCTTGGGGTTCTTTGATATGCTGAATCTAACCATGTATTTAGATTTTGGATATTGGCCCATAATAGGTTAATGTCCAATTTAAAATTTTTAAGTTCTTAGACCACATTCATTATGTGTCAGAAACCTATGCTGTGTCAAATATTTAATCACAATCCAAATGCAAAGCTGTATCAAGCTTGAATGTTGTGTCCATACTTGCCCAAACTGTTCAGGGTTCGACATCTGCGGTCGTATCAAGCTGCGCCCTGCGGAGCATTTTATTATAGGTCATCTACATTTTGAAAAGAGGTTGCTTATGATAAGGTTTTTATACCCCCGTTTACGGGACATATTATGGTATACCAATGACTGTCTGTTTGTCCACCGTCAACATGTCGGACAATAACTCAAAATGCTTTAATAAATTTTTATGAAACCTTGGTGAATTGTTTATATCTTTTGATGTAAGATCTCTTTCGATTTTTATAAATCTCTGACATTGAGGAATTATATAAATTTTAGATTCTGCGTTTTCGAGTTATGGGATTTTATTCATAAAAATGGTGGAATTTTCCAGTTTTTTGAACAATAACTCAATAATGCTTTGAGCAGTTTTCGTGAAACTTTGGTGACTGGTTTATATCTATCTAAATAAAGCTTCCTTTAGTTTTTATAAATCTCTGACATTGAGGAATTATGCAACTTTCTTCGTTGAAAAATTGACGGGTGTTTCATGCGATCATGGTGCAACTCTTTATTATAAGTTGACACTGATTTTCAGGGGCTGCAAAGTTTTTTTCATGCAGTTTCGGCTCATTTTTTTAATTGCTAAATTTGGGTTTAATGTTCATGGTTACTTAATTGCAGTAGGAATAAAGCCCGGACTGTAATAGTTTGGTATTTTTCATGGTTCTTCTGGTCAAGTTGACCTATGTTCTAGATAAAGATTAACATGATGTACTCCAAAAAAGTATATAGAAGATGTAAATCACTAGATTTTCTATGAACCAAATAAAATGCAGGTCCAAAATGACTGAAAGTGAGTCAAAAGTTGGTGGGTTGTTTAGGGGGTTTTTTATGAATAATTTTTATTCCTTATTACTTACTAAGTGAAAACAAAACCTGTTAACACCAATCAAAACTACAGGACTTTTATGTATAGGTGGTTACAATAAAATTTGTATAGTCATCTATCATGTAATTTTGGATTCAATGTCTTCTTTACAACTTTTTCTTTATGAACTTAGGGAGCTACCATTTGATATTTGTAATCTCTGTCCTGCCTTTTTATTTATCACTCTATTTGGTCCTGCCTTTTTTTTTTAGTTTATCCTGACTTTCCTTTTACATAAATTGTCATCCTGCCTTTTTTTTTGCAAAGTGTCTCATCCTGCCTTTTTTTTTACCCAAAACTGCTGTCCTGCCTATTTTTTTCAAATTTCATCCTAGCCCCCCCCCCCCCCCCCCCCCCCCATAAAAATCAAATGGTAGCTCCCTTATATTTAACAGTAATTTAAAGGAAGTTATTTCCCTTGGTAGGAAAACATATTGGTTCCTTGTAATATGAGCAATAGTGTGATGTTTATAAAACATTAATATTACTTTGATGTAAAAACAACATTTCAGCTTTAAAATGGAGTTCAGTTGAAAAATATGCACTCTGTATAAATATAAGGAGATGTTTGTATACATACTTGAATAGAAGAATAGGATATTCAGTTTCTTATTATATATATAAAAACTTTAAATGAACTAATTTTCTAAAAAAAAAAAAGTAATATAATAATGTTATCTATTTGCTTTTGATAATATCCACTACACCTGATCAACACTCTTCTCAATAAAACATTACCCTTTTCATTTTATCAGAGGTACATTTGATTTAATGGATTAATCTATACTGGGAGCACTAAAAGTCAAAAGTTGGAGCAGCCAATGAGGGATTCATTTATGGGGAAACTAGTGAAAAAAGACAAACTACAACATTATGTTGATTCAAAAGTCTAGTATACATTAAATTGGATTACCTAATATACAAAGGCTGTCATAAAACAGGTGCTTTGTTAAATATCAAGAAAGTGGGATGTTTTCAGTTTTTGCAGTTTTTCACATAAATGATCATAATTGTAACATATCTCTTCTGTACAAAAAATTATTTTTGTAAAAATTTTTAAAAGCTTTAATTTATTGTCTTGTGCACATGTTTTGCATCTACGGGTGTTAAGTTATACCCCTTACTTTTTGAAATAAACATTTGAATATTAAAATCATGTTCTTCAAAGTTTAATTGCTATTTTGCCTTATATTTAGCTAATCCAATTTAAAAAAAAAAAATTATGCTAGCATCTTCCATCGATGATCTGTTATACTAACATTTATAAGAATGTGTGAAAATTAAGATTAATTGACTTTGCAGTTTTAATGTAAAAAGGAATTACTGATATTGCATTATATTTTGTAGTTTGTTCTGTCAAAATGTAAAACATTAAGATTGTGTTTAATGACATTATGTTATTTAATATATTGGTCTGAGTATAGATGGGATATACATCAATGGTCTGAGTTAGCAAAACAATACACTAGCCAATAGATGTATAAACCCATACATCTATGACTAGCCCAAATTAAAGCATACAAAATCTCCAAAAAACATTAGATTTTTAATTATGGGTATTGATGAATATGTCAACTAAAATCAACATTTTAGGTATGAAAAGGTTAATAAAATAGAAAATGGGAAGTTTCTCATTTGTAGATTTTCCACAAGGTTTTAATAATGGGTATATATATATGGTCATTTTATTCATGTAAGTATAAATTTATATTTCTTATAGATATATAAGTGTTGATGCAAAGCAAATTTAAAGTATATATAAAACATGATTTATGAATTTGATTTAAAAAAAATACCACTCTTCACCCTTAAAAAGAAATCAAAGCATATCATATGTAAATATGAAGAAAATTTAATAATTTCATCAAAAGATATTCAGGTTATTTTTTGAAAATGGCTCATTTAACAACATAAATTTTGTTGGGATTATATTTTGTAAGGAGGTACACTGCTGGTAATCTGGTTTAATGTGTTTAGAATTTATACTGACATTTTATGAAACAATACCATTGCATAACTCAAATAGGTTTAGATAATCCATTCAATGTTTTTAGAACAGTTTTTTCACATTTTTCACAAGGGTCAAAGGTGGTTAATTTGGGGCCTGTGCTCTAAGATAACTTAGCCAAATGTTTTTGACATTTAAGCCTACCGGTATTTTATTTGTAATCTACCATATAAAATCACTTTAATGATGTCACAGTCAGATTGCTTCATTAAATCCAGGATAATATTTACTTTTCAGACAGCCTATCTTCTGAAGTTTAAAAATTGTCAAACAGTAATGGTATCATACAGTTTTTGATTTTGAGTGCATTTTACAGGTCTAAATAACCTCTTCTTTTAACCCCAAATTAAATAAAGAACATTTAAAATATATGATGTTAACTTGTAGTTGATTTGAACCGGTAGTTAACAACTGGGTCCAGGTCATCAAATTATACTGGATATTTAAGCTTTGAAATATTGATACAATGCACTATAAAAACTTGGAATATGATTTATTTTTTTATTTTTCCATATTTCTTGTTTATTTTATTTTATACCACTATGCCAAATATGGTGTTGTTTATAAGATATTGTTTAATTTATGTAATAAAATTTATAAAACATGACATCAATTTTTCTTTATGATATAATTGATATAACTGATAACATTACTGTGGATAGTTTTTGTCTCACCTGCGACGAAAGTCGCGGAAGGCGAGACATAGATTTGCTTTCCGGCAACGACGATGACGGCATCAACAATTGTTAAGTTTTCTGCTAAAGTTAGTTTGAAAGGAACTTCTTGTGATAGATCATTGATATTGAATTTAAAGTTGCATTACCATCAGTACACATCAGTTTGACAACTATTTTGAGGCCCTGTCCCCTAGGTCATGGTCCAGTGACTTTGAATTTATAAGCAATTTTTAATGTTAAGTTTTCTGCTTATGTCATTTTGATAGGAACTACTTGTGATAGACCAATGATATTTTCTATAAAGTTGCATTACTATCAGTACATATCAGTTTGATGACTATTTCGAGGCCCTGCCAATAAGATCATGGTCCAGCGACTTTGAATTGATAAGAAATGTTCATCAGATGGTCTTTTTCTGAATTTAATGCCGACAGGCAAGACATATCTCTGTGTCAACAGTTTATTTATTTGATGTATGGTGTTGAAATATTCTTACAGCTTGAACATGAATAAGTCCTACTTTGTTCACAAATACTTCTTTATATCAGTATTTATTTTCCAAAATGACTAATATCCTAATTAGTGGTTGAGACTCTTATTTTATAGATGTTTAAAAAAAATTATTCATGACATCAAGGCAAACAATTGTGTATAAAAAATGTTGGTATTGTTGTATGTCATGATATATCAGGTGTCTGTAGTCTCTTTTTCTTGATACCTGATGTATCTTATTTACTAGTATCAGTAATCTGCAAAAAAAACTAGATAAGCTGCACCTGCTTGTGTTCACTAGGTCAGTCTACAAATTAATTGTTGGTATTATGGTACCCAGCTTTCTCCTACCACCAAAGAACTGACACAAAGGAAAACATCAATTATATATATTTACCAGAGGCTAAAAAGAGATGCGAATCTTTTCTGTAAATTTACTGTTTATAAAATGTTAAATTATTTGAAACACTAAGGTATAGATAGCCATGGCTTTACTTTGTACAACTTTTAGGAATTATCGGTTTTTACTGTTCTTCAACTTCGTATTTGATTTGGTTTTACAACTGTTTTGATTAGAGCTTCACTGATGAGTCTTATGTAGACAAAATGCGGGTTTCATGTACAAAATTATAAGCCTGGTATCTATAATGAGTTTTGCATTATAGTCTTGCAAGCTTGTCTTTTTGATATGGTAATATAGAGGACAAAGTCCTCATTACATGAGGAAATATAAATAAAGAATAGAACACACAAGAATCTGCAGAACCTTCAGAACCCGTACAAGGAATCAGAGCTATGAATATGGGAGATGCATTCCTTAATTTAAAATTATTTCGAAATTTTATAACAGCAAATTTTAATAAACCAATATCTATTTTATCATGCCAGTTCCGAAGTACTGGCGACTGGACTGCAGTTCCGAAGTACTGGCGACTGGACTGGTGATACCATCGGGGATTAACTGTCAACCATTATATGTTGCAGAAGGTACACAGCTTGATCATTCATATCGTGCGTAATGACTGCGTAAGCAAGAGTGGTCGACTTTAGCTGAGGTATATCATAGGCTTAAGTGACTATGACTGAACCAAATGTTAAAAGTGCGTAATTAAGGTCCATAGGTTGAGAACACTACCCTATTTAAGCAAAATGCAAATATTTGTACCACTCGCTTTTCGAAGCAGGCTTGCATACCCCTTTTCAATTTAATTGAGATTTACACTCAACATTCAGTAACAAAATTTGCCATTGATAAGCTATCAAGTCTTAAGCTACGGAATTTCCAGTGAAGTGTATAAGTTACTTGTATGCCTGATACCGAAGATGGTCTCGTGTAGGTCGATGGTGTCACAAATGACTTCCTAGAAGGGTTTCCATTTTTTGCATTGCCACGATTCTTTGAAGACTCGATTTGCACATTCGTTGTACTCTCTGGAGCATCTCTTTCAGAAAGTACTAGAAAGTCTTTCAGAAAGAAGTATGTCCGGACACGATCATGGTAAATGGATGCTTAGAAACAGGCGTTGTTGTTGGAGAGGAGTATAAAGCTGCTGAAGACACGAGTCTTGTTGCTGAAGAGAAGTGTGCTGCTGCTGGAGCTGATGAAGAAACGAATGTTGTTAGTGCGTAATTAAGGTCCATAGGTTGAGAACACTACCCTATTTAAGCAAAATGCAAATATTTGTACCACTCGCTTTTCGAAGCAGGCTTGCATACCCTTTTTCAATTTAATTGAGATTTACACTCAACATTCAGTTACAAAATTTGCCATTGATAAGCTATCAAGTCTTAAGCTACGGAATTTCCAGTGAAGTGTATAAGTTACTTGTATGCCTGATACCGAAGATGGTCTCGTGTAGGTCGATGGTGTCACAAATGACTTCCTAGAAGGGTTTCCATTTTTTGTATTGCCACGATTCTTTGAAGACTCGATTTGCACATTCGTTGTACTCTCTGGAGCATCTCTTTCAGAAAGTACTAGAAAGTCTTTCAGAAAGAAGTATGTCCGGACACGATCATGGTAAATGGATGCTTAGAAACAGGCGTTGTTGTTGGAGAGGAGTATAAAGCTGCTGAAGACACGAGTCTTGTTGCTGAAGAGAAGTGTGCTGCTGCTGGAGCTGATAAAGAAACGAATGTTGTTGTTAACGAGGAAAATACTGCTGCTGGAGCTGCTGAAGAAACAGGTGTTGTTGTTGGAGAGGATTATACTGATGCCGAGATGCTGAAGAAACGGATGTTGGAAATTAGTAGACTGCTGCTGAAGCTGCTGAAGAAACAGGTGTTGTTGTTGAGGATGATTATACTGATGCCAAGTGTGCTGAAGAAACGGATGTTGTTGTCGGAGAGGAGTACACTGCTGCATGCTAAAGCTGCTGAAGTAAATGCCGGAGTTGCTGAAAAAACGGGTGTTGTTGGAGAGGATTATACTGATGCCGAAGCTGCTGAAGAAATGGATGTTGTTGTTTAGAGAGGAGTATACTGCTGCTAGAAGACACGGGTGTTGTTGTTGAAGGGAAGTATACTTCTGTTGGAACTGCTGAAGAAATGGGTGCTGTTGTTGGAGAGGAGTATACTGCTGCTGGAGCTGATGAAGAAACAGGTGTTGTAGTTGGAGATGATTTTACTGATGCCGAGGCTGCTGAAGAAACGTATGTTGTTGTTGGAGAGGGGAATACGGCTACTGTTGGAGAGAAGATTACTTCTGTTAGAGCTGCTGAAGAAACGGCTGTTGTTCAGGAGTTAACCGCTGCTATAGCTACTGAAGAAACGAGTGTTGTTGTGCGAGAGGAGTATATTTCTGCTGATACTGCTGAATAAACGTATGTTGTTGTTGGAGAAAAAAATCATCAAATATACCAGGCATATAATTTTGTACGCCAGACGCGAGTTTCGTCTACAAAAGACTCATCATTGACGCTCGAAAAAACAATAAGTTAAAAAGGCCAAATAAAGTAAGAAGTTGAAGAGCATTGAGGGCCAAAAATTCCGAAATGCTTAGCCAAATACAGGTAAGATAATCTATTTCTAGAGGAGTATACTTCTGCTGTTGCTGTTTCTGAGGCTGCTGTTGCTGATTCTAAGGCTGTTGTTGCTACTTGGTATCATTTTTGTATTTCATTCGTCACCGAAAATCATGTAGCTAATCATAAACGCTCAGACAAAGATTGCAACTATGCATTTTCACGCTTTCAACGTCGCAGTGATGTTAAGGCAATTTCGTCGAATTTCGCGGAATTTTTGTCAGGGGTAGGTAACTCCGCAATTATCTCATTATATATTCATCAATGGCGGATTCCGTAAGCAGCGTCCATCGATAAAATTGTTGAATACAAATTGCATGCGTGCACGCGGATAAAAAAGGGATACTGGTACGATGTCATTTGATTATTAAAACACGATTACGGCATTTTTGTGCTGAAACTGTATTATAAATGGTTGCAATAGATGTTTTTATTGCCGGGATCAGACCCCGCCTACTTCCGAGAAGCAACCAATCAGAAGCCGATCGCCGTCTTTAGATGCTTGAAGTTTGCAGAATGGAAAGCACCTTGCCGGAGCAATTATTTTCTCTAATGTGTGAAAATATACCAACAGAAGTAAGTGACAGCTACAAAATATGTAAGCATTAATGAATGTAAGTTGTTTACTTTGTATTTCATTCATTTCAGTAAACGACAAGAGGTGGGGAATTAGAAAAAAACGAGTTTTGCTTCATGGCAAACATGCTACACGTGGTCAGATCAACAGGGGGGAAATATATAAAAAGGTATAATTGACTCCCTTTTTAAAATAAATAGAGTAGCGGATGAAATAAATGTGTATACTAGTGTTTCTACCACTTGCATTCCCGATTGTCAAGACACCATTCACAGCGTTGCTCTGTTGCTTCGTGAAAATTGTTCCAGTTTTGTGTGTGCACCTAGCTTGTCCATGTTCAGATAATCATGTCTGGTGATCAATTTATATTTTTATGATCCAGTAACAAAAATTAAATCGGCCTATCAAGATATCATAGATAAGAAGTAAACATGGTGAAAAAGCCTTTCAAAAGTCATAATTAATTGGACATGAGGAGGACTAATTACCCCCCCCCCCCCCCTATTTTGAACATGTTCAACCATGCCTAGACATAACCCTGTCTTACTCTTTATGTGCTTCTCTGAAGTCAGAAGCTGACTGTTGTTGCCAATATCATATTTGTTCTTTTGTAGTCGTCTAGCTTGCTATGAATTATGGGTTTTGTTCATTGTTGAATGCATTATTGGGACCAATAGTTACTTATATTTACTTCATTTGGTCCCTGATGGATAGGCCAGTCTCTTTGGCAATCTGGCAGTGTTAACATATTGTCCTAGTCCTAATAATTATGATGTCTTGCAAGGCTTTTTTTAATTTTTTTCTGGGACACCCAGAAAAAAAATTAAAATAGCCTTGA